GTGGATTTGCACTACAATAACCTGTAGTTGCTGGTTGCGTGAGTACAAATAACAGTAGCAACTTGCGAGCGTGCCGTCAGACAAACACTACTTAAACGACTTCAGGTACCTAGATGAACTAAGTACTTAAATTGAAATATCTGTGTCGAGTGCCCGTCCTAACGAAACGGGATGAGGGGAGTTAACACGCTCTTGTCTCAGTGTCGCAATTCCGACCTGACCAGTCACGTATCGAATGTCCTTATCCAATTGGTACTATCACTAGTGTTATTGCATTCATGTACGTAAAACACGCACATTATGCGATACGATAATAGCCTATTTTTGCTATTGAAATGTACTTACCTCTGTACATTGGTCTAGTGACTTATGCAAACGTTTTAAAACGTTTTTAAATCACGAAGTACTCGCACACAATAATTTGCAGCGTATACAACAAGCTGTTCAGTAACCCATAACGGGTATATTGCCATCGGCGATTGCCGTCTCTTTAAATTGACAAGCGTGCCACAACTATGCCATGAGTCACGGTTACCTAGCCTACCCACGTGGCGTGGCCGCCCTCGTCAGTTCGCAACTCGTTATTTTTTGTGACGAAAACTAGAAATATGCATTGTGTGACAGCCATTCTATCTATTAAGGTTACGACGAGATATTCGAACTAGCTTTCCGTATTCTACAGCTCTAGCATTACCATCTCATTTTCGAAGCACATACATATTTGGAATTGGAATGATGAACTGGAACTCGCGTCAAATAAATTGTAAATCTATTTGGGACAATCTTATACTTTCTGAGACAATAACTCCACCTACAAACATATTATAGTCTCAAATGAGTGCGTACCCGAGCGCTTATAATTTCATCGAGCCCTTATTTAGGCGGACTAATGTAACATTTGTCACTCCGATCTGAACTAGGTTAATCCACGGGGTATTAATTCGAGACCTATCGCATTTCAAAACAATACTTGGAGACTTATACCCAGAGTCACGATAAATGAGGAGTCATTTATATGTAGAGTTGTAACTTCACAGAGCTATTATACCTTCATCTTGCCTTAAGATTGGATTACAGGAAACATTACATGTTAATTAGCTAGCGAAATCTGTTTTAAATAAGACACGCAACTAATTAGTAATCGATTCTGATTTAAATCCCAGCCGTAAATTGGGACTTGGCATAGTCAAAACATGAAAACTAAAACTTATTATTATCCTTATTAATCTATAATTATATTTTTATATACATATGTTCCTATTCTGTGCGTTATTTTGCAAATGCGAATTACTTATTTATATTTGCAAATATTTCCTAAAATCTCGAGATTTTATGTGTATTAAATAATTATCCTAATCCTAAATTATTTCTAAGTCAGATTCATAAAACTATTTCTAGAAATAAGTATTAGCTATGGTAACACGCCGTAATTATTAATGTCATAATCACAAGCTAATCCCATCTATAAAAGTTTTTACAATGGAATAATTATAATCAATGAATGAATGATGCGCACACAATGGTGTTCTAATACCATCACGTGTCCCGTAACAAAGGATTATAACGTCAAACCCTTAACTGCCTCCCTAGATATGTATATAGAATTTTCAGACGGGTCTATATCGACATCTCTATTTATTTTTTCAGTTAATGTTCGAGCCGGTCGGAGCTGAGACGTGTACCGCACACATATTTAGACCAACCACAGGTACATTTCAAACTTCTTAATCTTTATATTAGCTTTTCCCTATAATTTGACCACTCAAACACGTTAGTTTGCTAAAAGTAATTAGTACTTTAGATTTACCAACATTTATTAATATTTTAATAACGAATTGATGTAATGCAATTTAATTTGCTGATTTTACAACCACTGCACGTACCTAAATGATGTAACTTATTTCATTAGTTCATTTAATCTACAGTATAGATGTATTGCAAATGATTATATTACGTACACACACTAGGTTTAAAATTCTTCGCTGTTTGTTTCCGTATAATACCAAAACATGGAAGTCTACGTCTGGCCATTGAATCAAAACATCACGACAAAAACGTATAGATACTTAGTAGTTATAATAAAAAACAACCTTCAAACACATTGTTAAATAAAATACTGCGTTCTCAGTAGCTGTTACTATTGTTCATAGTTGTTTCATATCAAACAAAATACATCTTACACTACATTCAGTATATCGATTTGAAGAATGTTATCGAAGACTTACTAAATATTGTCTTATATTAATTTAAATTCAAAATACATTTACATAATACAAACAAATGTAATCGCACTATAAGAAAACTTGTAAGGCTTGAAACCTTACCTTATACCGACATTCTCTACATAAGGTCAATATGTCTCGGCGCTATAGTTATTACATCGTCAGCGCGTTAGTCATTGCTACTGGCGATGACGCGGCTTAGCTCTCGTTCATACTAAATAGTATAGAACGCTGAAACCTGATTTGTTTGTTTATCGACAAAGCAAACAGCGACGAGACAGGCCATACTACCTCCCTGAGTGCTTTTCACTTCTATAAACACAAAATAGCAGAGTATCAAATTGTATTTCACCTATTCAAGATACAAAACAGTGTTCAGCCGCAAAATCTTTGAAAATATAAAGCCTTAGTCTGGGCCTCCACGTCGCAGTCAGCTAGGGACTCAAATATCGCAGTACGAATTAGTGCTGCTTATGAATAATTTAACTGGAGCAGCTGAGTGGATGAAACTAAGTTAGGTTTAACCAAGCGCGTGAAATAACTGAACTCTTGCTTTCAGAATAAAGTAACTTTGGTCCAATAACAGTATTACAGAGAAATCCTCTCTACGTCTATCATTTTACCGGGTTTATTGATGTATTGATGAAAAATGAGTAGATTCAACCTTTTAATGAACTGATGTAGGTTTAAAATAGTTACTCTATTACCGTCCGACCTGAATGCTAGTACTACGTTGCATAAGCCTGTGTTCCATAAATGGATACTTATCGAACTCCGGCACGCAAGTACCTTTGCCTATAAGTGTAACCACTCAATCTTCATCAATAAAACGGAAGTTATTACTCACACATACATTATCCACTGGTGTACGGTAAGAAAGCATGTTCTTGTCTCGTCTATCAATATTCATAATTATATTTGGCTATATCTCATATGTGGTGCAGCAATTCATTGTTTTACAATAAGTTTGACAGTGTATCTCGATTACTGAGTTAAGTAAGTATCCATGCCGTTTCCATGCTAATTACTCAATGAGCTACTCAGGTATTCACTCACTGTCACTGAAGGAGGTCAGAAATAGATACCCTATTTCTATAAAAATTTAAAAATTCTTAGTCCACTTCAAATGTCATATCAAGACAATAAAATTCTTTACACGAGGAGTATTTTTTCAAGATACTTAATTACGATAATCGTATTTTAAAATAATTTACTATACAAAACATGCGCGCGCTCTTGATTAACTAAAAACATGACATTATTTAAATATTGAGTACGATATCTGTTTCATGCTGACATAGCGCTTTTTCCATGCCATTGGGCCTTTAAAATATTCAGTGGATATCTAGCCAATAGGATTGTGTTCCAGCACAATCAAAACATTTATTTTTCATATGTCATGAATTTCCCTAGCGTCTATTGAATCTTTTTCATATTTCTTTTTTTTCATGTGCTTCTTGTTTGAATATAGATGTATTAAGGAATAAAACGTTTCGTCTCGATCCAATTCCAACTGAGTGCGCTATGTGATTTGAAAGTAATTAAGTGATTTAATTTCTACTTATACGAATATTCGTTTAAGTTTCTTATGTTGTCCTATCAAAGTGAATGTCTAGTTTAATTTATTTTTAGTTTACATTGTATCGGCTCCATTTAACACTAATGTCATGTTAAGTTTCGAATCAAACAACAATCAACATCCGACTGTTACGCCTATGTAGTAGAAACTAAAACCAATAACAAAGCGTTAGACCGCGTTCAAACGACTCACAATCTCTGGTGGTCATTGCCACCATACGTGCGTGTCGTGTTGTTATATTTTGTGACATTAAATAAGCATTCAGTAAACTACCAAAACTTATTAAATTTATAAAGTCTTACAAGATGAAAGTCTGAAAATATGTCTAGAGTCTAATTTGAAGTAAAAATGTAATTCAGTAATTCCGCTGTATCCACTTAGCGCACATCTAGCTCGCGGCATGTTATTCTATTACGATGCCGATGTGAAGAACACGAGCGGCCTTCATGCTTAGTGGGCGGATGACCGCGGAGCGTGCGGATCACACCGCGACTTTCACCTACCTGCTGGTGATTTCATCAAAACAAAACTTTAAAACATTACGACTCCGCCGGTCATTCGTACGTTATTATTTACTTTAAGTCGCTATACACCATTGTAGTCGTTGCTGGATGTCCAGTAGTTACTGGTGCATCGTGCGTGAGCGTGACACTGTGCTGTAAAGCAGATCGTTGTTTTCTTTTAATCATATTATATCATTCATTAACTGTTTGTGCATGTGTGGTGAAGCTGGCTGGCTTTTGTACAAACGTTTTTAAAAGGGTGGCTTACATATTTTATACTACCTAAGCTCCTTAGTTCTTTGTTTACCAAATAGGTCTTTAATAAAAATCGTGTTATACAGGTTCTCCACATAAGTTTAAATCAAAGGATTAGTCATGTATGTATGATGTAATTGCCAACAGACACATCATATAAAAATGCGATGATTGATATTCAAAATGATTTTAGCAGGAACTGATTAATTGGTTATTTAAATTGAAATAAAGCCATTAGAATAAAATTTTAATAATAACTTTGCAACGAATTGTTGCCGATACGTAGTCTGGCTCGTGCGCTGCGCGTCACATAAGGGCGTGTGGCCCACCGAATAAGTGTGTGGAGCTGATGGCGTGACCGCGCGTATCTGGTGCAGAAAGGAGAGCGCAGTGAGCAGAGGCGAAGGGCGAGGGGAGGGCTCTATATGGCAAAGAGTCACCATGAAGGTGGATGCCGACGCCAGGGAAGCGCCTGCCGCACCGCCCGCTGCACCCGGAACGCCGATCGCTAGTAATACAGAATCACCTGTATCCTCTTTGGACGGTTTGTTGGTTTAAAACTAACGTTCACTAATGAGCACATTTAATATAGAGCTTGCATCCTATCACACTTAATATCATCTTCAAGTCATTTCTCTTGGCACAACACTCATTTGGCTAATATGGCTGACGCTGCTTCAGTATTAATTTACTCATCTATCACCATCGCTTATTTTGTTTATTTGTGTAGTCCTAGAAGTAATTTTGATACATACCTACACGTGTATAGAGACGGTATATATGTTCGTGGAGTGTGACAACAGCAATAAATAATTAATTTGAATAAATTTTCTGCGGTTAAAGATTATTTTAAGGGATGAGGTTTGTGAGTTTTTTAAATCTATGCATATTTCGCTTCGATGGGCTTTAAGTTAATAGATGAAGGCTAGAAATAGGAGCCATTTCTACTAAAATTGATTTTTCTATAATTCTTGAGAACACTAACAATGTGTACAAGTACACCATTTTGGAACCATATGATATAACTGCTATGAGACTTAAAAGTTTACAAAACAATCTTTAATTTCGCTTGGGAGCCATTACGACGATTATCCTAAACAAGATTCTTCAAATGAAAAGTATTTTCTGAATAGTTCCTATCTGAATAGTCCATTAAATATCTAGTTATAAAAGTAGTACACAATAATAAATATTATCTTTAAATACTTCATGGACGTCTGTATTTTTTGTACATAAAATTGATCTAACCAGACCTCATCAAATTATTTTTAATATTCTATTGGCCAGAATATTAAAAATATTTTGATGAGGCAAAGATATATTGAAAACATGCCAGCGAAAATATTTTCTCCTTTAAGTAGGTAAAGTTTGTTTGCTTGTGAATTTACGAATTTGGGTTTACGTCAATCAATAAGGTCATAACGTCATTGCTTGACAAATATACCATTTCCAGAATCGGAAAAAGGGACAATTTATTCCGGAAATATAACCCCGGTCTCCAAACCAACGTCAATGATTGTTCAGGGAAAAGCTTTGCAATAAATATATTGTATATAACGTGTACACTAAGCTGTAACTATTTACTATTATTATCATATATTTGTTTAATATTGATACTTTAATGAGATACGTATGCGTATATCGGTAGCGCTCACATGAACTATTACCTAATGTATTCTTTTTTTAGACTTACACTAGGTAATGTCTAATGGTATTTTAAATAAAGTCATTGTACTGGCGGTCTTCCAATCGATATTCAATAACAGTCAACTGACTGCCAAATGCCAGTTAAGTTGAAACTTGATTAAAATAAATTATGTAGAGGGCAGCTAACACGGCGGAGCAGGTTTCGTGGCAATATTCGTTAATATTTTAATATACAGACTAATCTAATAGAGTAAAATATATATCTCTGTTAAAGTTTCAAATTTCAGTATTTCAAACTCAAACTCTTTATTTGCAGGTTAAGGTAATACATACAGATCTTATGAAATATCAGGCACAGCTTAACGGCCTTTTTCAGGCGTTGCAAATTTTAGGGGTGTCACCAGCTTATTATAAATTACATTTTGGTTAACATTTTTTTTTTACATATTTATTTGTTCGGAATATAGGTAAGTACTTAAGGTATATAATATATAAGTGGGTAAGTGCAAAATGTAAGTGGGTATTCTTAAAATGTATAGTATGTTGGTGTGTGCTTGTGGGTGTATGTATGGGGTAGGTTTAACATTTAATTTTGGTATTTTAACATCTGTCTGATTTTTATGTAGGTTTTGTGTCATCTCTGTAGGTAGATTGACTCAGTAGGTAGAGATTGGGTTCATAGTCATCATGGAAGTATTGTTTTATGTTCAAGTAGTGAGGCTAATTACGTTTTTCTACACGGTACCTATTGTCGTTGGAATTGTGAATAAGTTTGTCTAAATGTACACAGATTACCGGTTACTTGAGCCTCCTGAGGTGATCCCGACGCCCGAGCGGGCGTTGCTAGCCAAGCTGGAGGAAGAGAACAGACGCATCGAGGCGGACGCCAAGTGCCCCTCGCTTACCACCGTGCACAGCAGGAAGAGTTCAGATACTTCCCAAGTATCTCTAGCATCTGGTAAGTTATTATGGCTCCTCTATATCGGTTACTTAGATATTCCTTATTAAAAACTTATATTAATTCTTCTTCTCATTACACTTATGTGTCACGCTTTTCAATCCCCAAATGAATGGGAATTCACTAGTTATGAGTCCCATGTAATGCGGGGGTGGCAATCCTATTGCCATACAACGGACACATTTCGTGACTGCGTACCAAGTATATGTAATGTTGCCAAAAACCGAATTCGCCCAATAATCTATAAACAAACCCTTGTTAATCTTGTTTGCGGCACGTTTTACAACAAGATAATCAAAGAGGTTTTAATATTATATCTTAACTTCTGAAGGTAGACTTACTAAATTACCTAGGTACTATAGTTTTGAATGAATGTTAAATAAATACAAAATTATTCTGTTAAGTTGGCAAATAATATGCAGTGATTGAGGAAGGTATTACGCGATAATGAACGGGCACATTTTGTGACCTACTTTATTTTAATAAAAAATGTTTAACTCTCACGGCTTGTAACTCACCAGTTGCGTAAGTAACGGTATAATAACTTCGCTCAGTACCTTGCTTAGTTTACTGAACGCTCTATTATCTGTGATAACCGTTCTGAAACTACACTAACAAAATTAATAAAAGGTGATTGAGATGTTCCAACGCTTAATGTTTTTGTTTTACTGCCAGTAGTTTTTATTTCATATATTTGATTCAAACATTTATGATAAAGTTTTCTAGATTGAGTTATTTTTGTTTCTAAACTGTTAACGCAACTGTCAGATTATTATCTCTTATCAGTAGTAACTAGCAGTGATAGCGCAGATATGCAATATAAATCTATACATCTTGTAAATAAAGTGTTTTGTAAAAATGAACGAACCACACGATTTGCTATACGAAAGCAAAAGCGTGATTGAATTTTATATTTCTTGTGTGTTGGAAAATTTATCACTCGGTGGGTTATTTAATGTGTTTACGATGTAAATGTATCCTAATTCCGTGAGTCATAGCTTCAAAATTAATGTGAACATGAAGTTAACTGGGTTATTTCGAACATGAATGTTTTGACCCTTATAAAGATAATAACAAATATTTTCTCTCCCTCGATCTTATCTAATAAACTATTTCTCACATTTAAAACGTTATACATAGGATGCATATTGACCAATAGTGTCATTATTTGTGTTCTGATTTCATTGACAAGTCATGTGAATAGACGTAATGACACAATATTTTTTTAAATATATTTACGTAGAGTTCATTTTAATGTTACACATAACCGCTTCTGTGAATGATTGGACATTTTGAAAAGATGTATCAGCCGAAAATGAAATAGCTATTGCTTAATGAGTACATGAATTGGCTAAGATGTACGACAATAGAATGTCTTTTCATTTGTCTCGACTTGAATGCATTATATGGTTAGTACATATACTAAACGCATACGTTGGAGTCGTCCTTGGCTAACAAGTTGAATCCTACTGCGACACCTGCATTAACAGAACTCAATGTAGTTTCGGATGGTTTAAAAATCATTTGAATAATTTACTACATTTATAAATGTACCGGCCCAGTGTACCAGCCCGGATTTCAAACGGGTGTTTTTCCACTACAATTGTGAAATTGTCAAGTTTTTCCTTTATACCATCCTTATTCTGACAACAAACACCCCATAATAAAACCGTACCCAAATTCAGTAGTACTGTTTTAGTTTAGCGCTTAATGACATATTCGTCGATTCATTTTATAATACCCTAGCTGTTACCCGTGACTTTGTGATAATGACTTCTGGCAGAAATTTGGCTTTTGAATTAGTCTTTACCAAGGTTTATTCTGTGGCTGTAACAAATGTCATTACAACCAATTCAGGGTATAAAGATAACGGACTAGTGTAATACCTATACTTGTTTAATTTTCCACTACAACTTTTTTACTACTGTCCCCGTCCTTTCTCTTCCGATACGTTGTAACGTTGCACGTTATTTTTTACTACTACCTACCCAAGACTAAAAACGTCACAACGTTCAACGGCACCAACCATTGTAACGACTTTTCACGACAATTATTTTCCTGTCAAACTACGCTCCGATATTTTATTTAAGTCCTGTTTTAATTGTTAAATTCCAACTCCATACCGAATCAGATATCTCATCACGATTAACTTATTATGCCTACTTAGTAAAATTTCTAATTTACAGCTACAAGTTCAAGTCATGACGCGGAGGGTCGAGTCACCAACAGCGCAAATGGCGAGGAAGACCTCTGGAGTCTCTGGGGACGTATCGTCAGCAATTGGGAGACGGAGTGGAAGCGACGGAATCAGTTTGTGCGAGATCTGGTGCGCCAAGGGGTACCACACCACTTCAGAGGCATCGTATGGCAATTGTTAGCGGGAGTCGACACCTCTCCTGAAAAGAAGCTCTACGCTTCTTATATTAAAGTAAGTTTTTAAAGTGTACTATAAAATGCAATTCGGATTTAAACGTAATCGTAATCGACATCTACACTATCTACACTAATAGTATTAAGAGTTAAGATTTGATTTTTTGTTTGTTTGATTAATTAAATGGAATATACTCTGAAACTACCGGCCCGTTTTGAAAAATTCTTTTACCGTTGGAGTCCTACATTATAAATGATGAACATAGGCTATATTTAAGTATTTAGCTGCATCAGAATCAGAGATTTGATAGAAAAACACGAATTCAATTAACTAAATACATTTTATTCGTGGACTAGCTTTTGCCCACGGTTTCGCTCGCGCTCTTTTAAAGGTATTGAAGGCAGATTTACCAAAGATAAAAAATAATTGGTGTCCTATGTTTTGCTGGTCATAAATATTATATAATTGAATTTTATGAAGTTAATTTAATAGTATTCACAATAAAAGGTGTATAGATATTCTATAGTTAGTTGGCTAAATGATATAATATATATTGTTTTTTCAACATATCAACTTTTGTCTAAAGAAACGAAGCCAAGAATACATAAGTGTTAATTCCAAAAATATGGAACCAGACCAATATTCTATTCTAATAGTTTCTATTTAATATTAAAACACGAACATCCCGAATGCTCGTGACGTTTTATTTAAAGTTCGACTTCTCAGGTATTCTTGTTCACCTATTTCGAAATGTATGTCTGGTACCGCAGGCTTGTCTCGTCACCTTGGTTTTGTGGAGACACGAGACAATCTATTTCCGCCCCGATGTCTGCACTAGAACGTGACATAATAGACTTAGCCACAAAAACTACCAGGCGAAATCTAGCCAGATATTATTGTTAATGCAAACTTTTGGAAGTGACTGAAGTAGTTCTTTTTTATCTTAATTTAATAACTTGGGAAAATATCTTGGACAACTATTCAGCTGGAAGGGTCTGATTGGCTCTTGCCTTTAACTTATTTGGGCTGGTTACAACATGGTTTTTTATCAAACCTGATCCTTCATAAAGCAGCATGCGTCATCTTACTACAAGTCTTATAATAATAGAACTCTACTTATTACAAATATTAAGTTATTTAATTCACATTATTCTTAAAAATATTTTCTTTTTAGGCGAAATCAGCATGTGAGAAGGTGATTCGTCGTGACATAGCTCGCACGTATCCCGAACATGATTTCTTTAAGGAAAAGGATGGACTTGGCCAGGAGTCCTTGTTCAATGTGATGAAAGCATACTCCCTGCATGACCGCGAGGTGGGCTATTGCCAGGGATCCGGGTTCATCGTAGGATTATTGCTTATGCAGGTCAGTAATTAACAATTATAAATGTTACGAGAAATCAGTACATAACTAGAGATTCTCAACTTTTAAAACAGAATCATAATATTGAAAGACAGAAAATAGCGAAAACGAGGTTTTTTGTTATTAATATTATTAAGTTTAATCGGAAATCTGTGGATTAAAATCTATTTTTATCATTAGTTATTGTATAAACATTAACCAATCCCGATTCCTCTCAAAACGAACACCGAGAATGAAAATACGAAACTTATAATGACCTGTTGAGTTTCGGCTAGTGTTTTCTTTTATGGGATAAACCGGCAAACAAGCAGGCGGATCACCTGATGGTAAGCAATTAATGCCGCTCATGGACACCTAAAACACCAAAGGCGTTACAAGTGCTTTACCGGCCTTTTGGGGATAGGACTTTGAAGACTGTTTGAAAAAAATAAAATTTCTTAAGAAAATAAACCTCACTAGTTGTTCACTGACTGTCTGGTCTTCGATTAATGTCTGACTGAGTAGGAGAAACAATAGAAAGTGCAAATTTTATATATGAGAGACCGGACAGCGTACTGCTTAGAAGCACGCCCCTTGTTGGTGATTCCCGTCAATTTCCCACACATTATCCATATCCCACACTATCAGTATAGTCACAGGATTTCGTCAAGATTAACATCAACGAAATGCAGCGGCATCTCAAGCGAGAATCATACAGTTATATAGAGTTTCTTCTTATATAGATTGTAATAATCCACAGATTGAGAATTGAGATAAGTCATTAATTTTAAATATAAGTGACCTATCGTAGCAAATGATGCCCAAACGAATGATTAGAACGTTTAAGCAAATAGCATGTTACAAATAACTAACTTTAAGCATAGAGTAGACCAATGGTCTTTGTGAATAATTGTCTGGTATAATTGTCCTCATGTGCATCCTAGTACTAATTATCATCATAAATATTATGAGTACTTGCTGCCTTATAATACACAATGAGGACTCTACTACTATCATCCATCCTTTGTGCCCTTAAGAATGTGATAATCATTCATAATACTGCTAATGTATAACTTATATATCATATTATCATTTTTATAAGAACCAACAGCAAAGAACAAGAAATTACCTTTATTTCATTCATATTATGACTTCTTCATTTGGTTACTGTATCAAATAGCCACCTACTACTATTTGGTAAATATGTATTCAGGGTTTTGATTATTAAAACTCAATATATTCGGATAAGAATCTAGAATCTGGTCCAGAATATTACAGTAGGTGGCTAGGTATAATCTCTATTCGAAACTATTACATAAAACTTAAAGTACATATGTTACAAGTAGGTTTTACATGTACCTATTTAATGCGTCTTCTACTTATCTCCGGGAAATATTATATTGTTATTTTTATTCCATAAAGATGCCAGAAGAAGAAGCTTTTGCGGTGTTAGTAAAGATAATGCAGCAACATCGCATGCGGGATATGTTCAAGCCAAGCATGGCAGAGCTCGGTCTCTGCATGTTCCAATTGGAAAACCTCGTGCAAGAACTGCTGCCTGATCTGCACGTGCATTTCCAGTCGCAGGTGAGTGCTATAATAGGACCACGAATGCGTTAGACTGTTGTTACCGAATTACCAATATCTCATCGTTATCTGTTCGAGATCGTCCACTACTGGACTATATATAGATCTTATTTAAATAATAATATAATCGGTATATATTATAAAACGTTAGTCTTCTTCTAATCCACTAGTCTAGACGTTTTATAAAAATGTATATCTTAATATTGGTAATAATCAAAATCTTCGACTTTATTTCTTAACAATAATGTATAAAAAAGGACATTTTAATGCTTTTTAGAATTCTGATTAAAAAAGATAACGTATAAAAAGCAAAGAAATATGTAAATAACATTAGTATAAAGACCTATATCTAAGTCGTTTTTAATATCACTACATAGTATAAAACAAAGTTGCTATCCACCGTCAGTTTGTCCCAATGTATGCTTAAATCTTTAAAACTACGCAACAGATTTTGATGCGGTTTATTTTAATAGATAAAGTGATTCTTAAGGAAGGTTGATATGTATAATGCACCCGTACGAAGCCGGGGCGGTTTGCTAGTACACAATAAAATATTGAAACTTAATACATTTATAGTAATTAACGTAATAAATTTAAACAGTAACTTGGGCTATCATTTTTTTAATTTTAAATAAGACTGTCGATAAATAAACTTTTAAAACCATGGTATCGTTTTAATCCCAACTGCTGTACAACAAATTGCCTCCAAAATATGTTGAACATTATGTGTATTTTACTTGCAGAGTTTCAACACGTCTCTTTATGCCAGTAGTTGGTTCCTGACTCTCTTTACAACTACTCTCACTTTGCCGCTTGCTTGCCGAATCATGGATGTGTTTCTGTCTGAAGGAATTGAAATAGTGTTCAAAGTAGCCCTCGCTTTACTGACTGTGGGCAAGAACGACTTACTGTCGCTCGATATGGAAAGTATATTGAAAGTAAGTACTTGAATTTCTTACAAGTTCTGTTAATTCAGTACAAAAATAAATATTTATTTGTTTATACCTTTAAAACGCTGTGTTACAGACATATTTATACCATTGAATAAACTTTTGTGGTATTAGAAACGGTTTGTATTAGAAGTCCAAGTAAACTTACACATCTGACGCATACATAAAATATAATTATGTTCTCTTTAATACAACCGCAACTAAATGTAATGTTCACAGTACATACAGAAGGAACTGCCATCGAAAGCTGAGGCCGATCAGGATGTGTTTATGAACCTCGCGTATTCATCAAAGTAAATCCAAAGAAAATGAAAAAACTAGAGAAAGAATACACTGTGATCAAAACTAAGGAGCAAAGTGATATAGCTGTATTGAGGGTAAGAATACATTTTATGCAGTTATAAGATGTGTGATATGTTTTCCTGTGTGACTCCTTCTCTTTGTTTGACATTTGGCTAATGGACTAACTATAACCCTCATTTGAAGTGTTTTCAGCATTCTGATTTCTGAATAACAACTGTTATAACTCCATTTCTAAAGCTAATAAAATCATCGCTTAGGGGACATATGTACATACTTCTGGAAGTGTTTGGTGTTCAAATTGCATGTCTATATTCTTGGAAACATGGTATTTATTGTAGTGCCTGCGTCAGGAAAATCGTCTGTTGAAGCAACGAGTAGAACTGCTCGAGAAGGAGAGTTCTGGGTTGGCTGAGAGGCTGGTGAGGGGACAAGTGGACCTCGCAGAAGGTGAAGAGGAGACGTTTGCTCTCGCCCGAGAGGTGCAGGCGCTGAGGAGGGCTAACGTCGACGCACAACAACGTCTGGCAGTCGCCCAGGACGAGATACGGTCGCTCGAAATGACCATCGCTGAGGTGAGTTCCTTTTACACATGCAGACATGTAAAGCTTTAACAAAACAAACTTCATTTCCGAAATGTATTGTTTAGTATAGAAAATAGCGAGTTATTCCTTGTATCATCACATCACACTTAAGTTCAGTGACAACACTAAAACCTAAATACCTTTTTAGAACAACTCGCGGCAATCGTCATTGGAAGGTATGGAAGGTACAGGTAGCCAGAAAGGCGAGGAATTGGCTCGGTGTCTACAAAGGGAGTTGGTGCGAGCACGGCTCCACGCGGCTGAACGGGAGGCAGCTGAGCGAGAACTGACCGCTCGTATTGCTGAACTCGAGAACGAGAACAAGAGTCTGAGGAGACAGCGAGTTGATAATAATGTCGCCCATTTACAGGTAAGTGGAAAGAAAAAATACAATTATTATTAATTTTACGCTGTGAGGTTTGTCTTTTATGTGCACTTAACGTTCCCTTAATTTTACAGCATTTCATAATATAATAATATGTGTATATCAGCCTATTGCCTTTAAAATGTTTAATATCAATTCTGTTACCAGCAATAAAAATGTTACTGTTAACAAATAGTGGCGTGGATGTTTACAGGACGAATTAATTGCTGTGAAGCTGCGCGAGGCTGAAGCTAATTTATCTTTGAAAGATCTGCGGCAACGCGTGACGGAGATATCTGAAGCGTGGCAGCGACACTTACAAGTACATTCCTTCATACTCGTTTCTTTCAATACTTTTACAATAAGTAAAAGTTTATATTTTACAACTATTCTTACAATTGGGGGGATCGTCCAGAGCCGTCTCCCGCCTTGTATTAGGCGAGAGGGAGTGTCGTACTCTTAATGACTGAAAACCACCCCGTTCCTACTCCTGCTTTTTGAGACGGAGCCCCGGCAACCCGTTAGGCCTTCCGCGGCTCCATAAACTATTCTTACAATAAGAACTTATTACGTTCAATAAATCATCAAGAACTGCATTGATTGTAATAATCAAGCAATAACATCAGTAATGCTTCTAATGAGGTTATTAACGCGTTGGGATTGCATTTAAATTTCAATTCTAATAACAGACAAACCCAGTACCTAGAACATTATTATTATTTATTTGATTCTGATCCAATGGCATTTCAATTGCCTTTACTGTGCTACTGTAGATCCTGGCTTACAGAAGTTGCAGCGAATTAAGGAGGTTATGAACGGATTTCCCTAATAAAAAATCCATCAAATATGTATCAACAATGCATAAATAATTCTAGGAACATAGACAAGAGGCTCCGGCCACGCCAGTGCAGTCGAACGTAGTGTCCGATATAATGGCGACGCCTAAGAAGTTGTTACGTGCCTGGGAAGGACGCTCCGGTGACGTGCAGAAGTTGGAGGAGGAACTTATGACCACTAGGATTAGGGAAGTCGAGGCGCTGACTGAGCTTAAGGAATTAAGACTGAAGGTAATTTTTTATAGTTTGATAATAAGGCTAAAATATATTGTATCTAATTCTGTATCTATAATAAGTGGTAATATACATAGGCACTTTCAATTAATGGTGACTCGATAGCTTGCAAATCTTCATTTTTTTGGTTTTAGCAGTCAATTTAGAATTATTTGGTACTGTATTTCGTTCCATGCATTTTTTCGAGTAATTTTTCCAGCCATCCTCATTATTTAGCTATATTTGTATCCATCAAAATTTTCCAGATATTGTGGATTAAGATTTCGATCATTAGTAAGCCATTTTAATTACATTCAGGTTATGGAGTTGGAGACCCAGGTGCAAGTGTCGACGAATCAGTTGCGGCGACAGGACGAGGAGGCGCGTCAACTGCGGGAGAACCTCGACGCGGCGCTGCAACGTGAGCGAGTGTTGCAAACTCGTCAAAGGGAGTTCCAGCATAAATATGCTGATCTGGAGAGCAAGGTTAGTCACCATAAGCCTCTGTCTATAATAATAATTATTTATTTATTTCAGACCATGTCCATATTCTTGTTAGTAACATTTAACTTAAAAACTAATGTTAGGACACATTGTATCGTATAAGGAAGAAAACATTTAATTGGTGGATTCATGTGGAAATTGTAACAATTATGTGATATGTTTGCGAGTCTGCGTTGAATATGTCAGATTTAAATTGAAGCATACTTTTCAGTAAACTCAACAGTTGCCTTTCACAATCTATGTATAACCAACACATTCTTACGTTACAATAATATATCATTATTTTAAGTTTATCGTTTGCCCTCACAGGCTAAATATGACTCCATGCAAGCGAACATTCGCAACATGGAGGACGCTCAGAGAATAGCCGAGTTGGAGACTGAAGTATCAGAATATAAGTTAAAGGTAAGAAGCAATAGTCACATTATTACACTACGATTACAATTATTTACAATTTGATCACGATTTACAAATTAATATTAACTTCAAGTCAACATTAATTTCATACACTTTTTTTATGGCTGAACAATAAAAATGTTACTCTTATATTAAGATGGTTCCGTAATTTTCCAAAAATGAAACATACCTAATAATAACTTCAACCCAACCATAGAATCATAAATTAGCGTCATAAAAAAGTATAGTAATTCCACATCGTTACTTGCAGAATGAAGTGATGGCCACTGAAGGTGAGCTTCGCAATAACATGGACGGTGACTCCGACGGCATCCAAGAGTTACAGGAGCAAGTCGCTGTATTGAAGGCTGAGGTACACACCCACTCTAACCCCACACCACTGTAATATACATAAATCACAACCCAAGAAACGTAATAAAGAAAGAAATTCAACATTTCCTTCTAATAAAAAAATATAAATACAAAAATAACAACGCGTCTTGACGCTTAGCTTTTCTAACAACTCAAAGGTCCGTTGAATTAACATGCTTATATTAATAAATTAAATTCATTACGAAGGCACACGATACTAACATAATGTTCATGGATTTGATATCGTTTCATGTTTGAGGAGCGCACAGTGTGGTCGATCACTCGCTATAACAACGCTTCAGTCATTGTAACGGCAACGCGGCTTTGTCTGTGGGACTCACTTGTACATTATTGTGTGAAATATTCAGAAAAGACACGACAACACTGCTATATATTGTTCACTCAATCATCGGTTTCTATATGTATTAGTACGAAGATTATACCTAATTTTCTAGTACCTATGTCTACTAAATTCTCTGTTTAGTTCTACGAGAAGAAAATGTGATAAGTTTAGAATGATGTTTTTGAAATTGCCATACAGAAAAAAGGGTTGGAAGTTTCTACTTCTTCTACAAATGCTTCTACATTCGTACAGTTTAATTATGTATAAATTAACATGGAAGACAGAAAGAATTTGTGTTAATGTGTTTATTAAAAGAGAACTATAATTTGCCCTTTCTGGGATTTGCTCCCGTATCGTAGATGTGTTTCCAAAAACGAATCTCATATACACATCACACCACATGTAGATCCGTGCGGAAATCCGTAGCTTGTGAAACGATGCTCAAAATACGGTTGTTCAGCCACTGTCATTAGTATGGAACTGCGATTTATATTACAAATACGTAGGAATAACAGCAAAAGGAACGTCCGTCGAAGAGTGCCATGTTCGAGGGTTGCGTAGTAAAACCAATATTGTTTTTTAAATATGGCACAATGTAACTTTGACTGAAACTTTTTTAAATAGTTCCGTATGTAATGGTGAACTGTTTTCATCGCACTATGTAGTAGTACGCAAAGATCGTTTGGGTGACTCCGGATGGGGAGGAGTGCTCTTGGCTGTGCGAGAATGCCTGACATGGAATTGATATTTTCTATTATTGGTATGAAACTGTAAACTTCTTTGTGGTGTGGTTTATTTATCGCCCAATTATAATGAGGACCAGTATCTTCGTGTCGTGACATGTATAGAAAATGCTGTTTTAACTTAAAAACTTCCTCGAACCTCGAGTTTGTTTCGGCAGTTCTTTTCAGAGTAGTCGGTAGGAAATGTCGGCCTCATCTCCCTTAATTAAAAGTGAAAAAGTAAAAGTGCAATGTACAAAATTAAACAGTCCTTTCATTTTGAAGATTTTATTGCTGCCTACATATAGGTCTACCGATATGTGTGACGAAGAGGGCTCTCGCCCAACACCATCCACACCGCCCTCCGATAAACACATTAACACAAATCCAACTCTGGTTACTTCTGTTCGAGTATTTTATTAATACTCGAACACGAGTAAGTAGTGGTAAACTCTGATTGAAAACTAGTCAAACCTGTAAGATTTAGACGGAACTACTACTCTACTCTTAATAATATTTATTTTTAACTGTTACCATTTTTATCCACTATGTTAAATGCAGGCCTACAATGATTAAGTGATTGTAGTTGTGTGCACTAAAATTCGGATCTGGTTAAACCAATGGAAAGGAATTCATTCACTATGTACCTCTAAATTGTTGAGAAAATGTTCGTCACCATTAATTCAGGTTATTAACGCGCTCCTCTGCAGCGGACAAATAAGGTATACATTTATATATATTTAGTGTTTGTATATACAATGATGCGCTTTTATCAAAATGTCTGATACATTTTGTTTGGCACTGCACAGTTTCCAACTCCGATCACCACGCCGGACACCGAGCCCTGGAAATGGCTCGAGTAAGTTCAACAATCAAACATCTTACCGGCTAGTGTGTTAACAGGCTTACTCCATTCTACCAATGTTAACTGCAGTGCAAACTGTGTTTAGCCAGAACATCTTGACAGTAGTCTCGATGACGACACATTTTCATACAACCCACTCAGATACCGAACCTGTATTTTACATAACACACAGGGACACGCATAAATTATACAATTTACTGAAGGTACTACCATAAAGTATGACAACAAATTCATTTCGTTTTCTTTTATATCATCGGAATAAAATAGATGTATATTAAATAGTGTTATTAAATAAATATGAATAAGTACCGGTATTGCAGTGGTAACAGATGCATTATCAATTCCCTGTTTACAGATCATTGCCATAATCATTTTTACAATATAATGGATTCGGCAGGTGAACACACTAGACCCATTGTACCAATTTGTTTGTTATCTTAGTGTTTGTACGAAAAGGGGAAGCCAGCCTCTTATTGCGCTTCCTCGATGTCTGCCTGATGTATTAATGCTGTACTAACATACTGTGTGGCTGGTCGTGGCATTGTCATGTCGCTTGTATTACGTTACACCGCTACCGCATGCATGTTTTGTGTTGTTCATACTGTTTGTCCCTTTCCTAACATTAAAGATGTATTTATAGTTTAACTCGTAGAGAAATGTAAAAAAATAATTTGACCCTCAGATGGGATGAAAGGAAGTATAACAAATGTGGTTCCTAATCATTGTTTTTCAGTGTAACATTGACAGTATTCCAAGTATAAGAAATTACTACAGGATAGTGGTGAATACAATATCATTACTTCAGCATGTTTGTATCTTCGATGCAGGCATCGTTTTAATTTATAATTAATATAGTAATGTGTTCTCTAGGTCATGAGACTAGAGGCGTGGAAATCCCGGGCCTTGGGCCATCCGGAACTAAGCTGTGCTGTGTCTTTCGAAGATGATTTAGAGGAGGACGAGAAACTTAAACTAATCCTACGACGCGAATCTTCCACATCCTTTGACCTGTCCGCGATGTCAAGAAAACCGACGTAACGAATACTATACACATAATTGTAATCATCAACTAGGTTTGTAGACCTCCTGTACACGTTATTTTGTCATCACATCATTGGTTTTAATTACTTAATATTCTTTATCTTTGCTACCAGTAATGTACAGGAACAGCTCACATGACGTTCCTCTCCCGTATTCGCTTAAATAACAGGGTTGTTTCTCGTCTCCAGCACTTTGCAGTGGCTACCATTGACCGCGGAATTCTCAATTAAATTGTTTTGCAGTAGTTGTGCTAGACATCTATATACAATTTTTAATAGACAACATAGCTGTAGATCGAAATACAATCAATAATAATCTAGACCGCTTAGACTTGTTAGTATCGACTTTCCGGTCTCCTGCTGCCAACTACGTTGTATAGCATATACTCAAAATAGTGGATGTACTTTTAGGCGGAGCTCAGGCTTATCTGAACTAAAAGTATAGTCGTCATTTTGATCTATGTTCTAATATTGATGCACATTATTAGTAATAGTAAGAATAATTTAATATATGGTTGTAGTTGAGACATACAGGTAGGTAGATTTAATATACACGTAGATTTATTTTAGTCTATTGATTATTGGGTAGAAAATTAATTCTTCTAGAAACACGTGGTTAATAACAGTTATACTTAATTAAACCATACATTGACTAAGCTACGTCTTTATAGCCTTCTCATAATATAATATCTAATGAAAATTTTCACAGTAACACAGTACCTACCCCTTTTCTACCTGGCCCAGCAATATCGGTGGGTAATGATGACAACAATAATCGATCTGTGTCTTATAAACTCTCAACCTTGTCATGAAGTAGATAGACGAAGAAAATATTGATTTTTGTTGCTGTTATCGACTGAACTTTTAGGGCTGGTCAGTTTTAGATACCGACCTCTGTAGCTCAGACCCTGTTCCCAAGTCAAGTAAATTTTTTAATATTTAAACTAACCTTATAAAATAATAATGACACAATTTGGTAACTTTGATCTCACATACCCTTATCCGTGTTAAAGTAGTAAGGGACTCGTTAGTTTAAAAGTTCTGGTACAAGCTATGACTGACTAATCGAACAATCGTTTTGTTTTGACTGCGTGCGGTTGCGATGATGTAGTCCGTCTGATGGCAGCCTAAACTTTTTATAGTTTTGTCTAGGAACATTATCTTCCCTAAACACTCCCGTAGTATTAATGAAATGATTGACGTCTCTTGCAAAACTAAAGCATTTCTTAACAAACATTCCAACATGTAATTCTTCTTATTTATTAATGAAAGTCTTTAATGTGAGTAATGAGATAAATATCCTAGAATTTATTTTCGTAAATATTAGTTAAATTAGATGTGGTTGAGTAGCTGAGTTCTATATTATTTTAGGTGATGAGATAGGGAAGGCACCCAAGTATTCTCGGCAATATTACGCGTACTTATTTTATTAATGCTTACTTATTTTAGGTTCTAAGAAGAAGTATTTTTTGAATGAATTCATAATATGTATTAATTTATTATTGTAAAATACTCAACATATTGTTAAACATTGTGTTACACGTTAAGCTTTCCGTGTGATTATTTATCCTTAAACGGACAGAGGCTGCCTGATAACTAACTATATACGTTTGTTATAGTTATTTAATAATAAACAGTTCGGCACAAGTCGCAGATCATTTAATTCTATACATATAGCTGTGTTCATAATAGTGGCACTTTCAATTAGTTTTTCACACCTCTTAATTAATTTTATTTGCCTTTTATCTGAGTCCGAAAGCTTCGTATGAGTAAGATAATTATTATTATCAAATTAAGTTGAAATCTGTGTAATATATCGTCATAGATCTCTATTACATTAAATTCAACTGTAAACTAATTGAAGCAGAATTTTTAATCCAGCAAAGCTATATGATTGCTGACAGATTTGTCAGCTTAAGTATTTATTTGCAAGTAATCTAATTTCACTTCGGTGCATTGAAATCCTAACTGGGAGTAACAGGTACAGTACCATGGTGAATGTTTACGTTTTATGTTTATTTTTTGTTAAATTTATTAGATATCTAAGAGAAATATATTTTAATATTATGTCGAATTTTAATATTAAACCGCTATACTGCGCACGTTGTTCCAAATAATTCCAACTTAATAAATATTATTTCTATTTGAGTTATCGTTATGAATGACATATTTTAATGCGTTGCGTCCCTATATTATTTATTTGTCATATTTTATTGGCAGCTGACAATTTACGTTTTCTGTATTATGTATGGTTACTATCATTAGAAAATAATTTGTACCGGTAGAACGTGTTACGATAAAAATGTATTTTATATTGATATTGTATTTAATCAATTCAAGTCATGTTTCAGTATGAATTAATAATCAGTATTTTAATTACTTGAACCCATACTAAATTTAAATTATACTAATACATTATAATATCCCGTAGTTTAAGGTCATACAACAGTCAAATAAGAGCCTATCGAATCGAAAGCAATAAACGAAAACGAAAATTCCACACAAATGTATGTAGTAGTAGCGTACACCAACATTTTTTACTTTTGTATACTTACATAACATACTTTTATATACATTCTTGAATAGTAGGTAATTATCTAGGAGATATAACATAATTGCAGCTTTACGAGATTGTGTTTGCTCAATGTCTTTACTGGCTATATCATTTCTTTTGTATTATGTATTTATAGATATAATAAACAATTTCAACTGTAAAGGAAAAAATATAAAATGCCATAGAAGACATTTTATATTTAGTTCCTCTTATATTGATAAACTGTTATTTTAACAACATTACACAAATCCTTGTTGACGAATAGTCTATAGAACATCTGCAGACTATTATTGCATCATGTTGTATTACTAGAAACCAATATGAACAGACAATCACATACCTACTGATATGCTTTATGATCACAATTTTTTACATTTTACTCGTGACTTTGTGTATTTTCATATTGTGTATTGGAAAATAAATTGATAATCTTGTATTCAATTTTTTATTACAAATAAAGACTTGTAACTCATTTATCGCAGTTTTCTTTCTTTGAAATCCTCGTGTGGCGCCAAGCTCGTAGTAACGTCGCATAAGACACATATTGTAATATTAGTTCGCAAAGCAAAATTGTTAGCAGTAAAAAACCTGAGATGACTAAGATGATGAAAGGTAAAATACTAATATTTAACCTTAGGAAATAGGTGTATTTTTGAGTTCATTCAAACTAGTGTACCTACATTCACTAAAGACATTTTTTTTTTTTTTTTTTTTTAAGGGGGGAAAATCATCGAATGACTGCACCCGCCTGGGTGAGGCGGAAGGGAGTGTCAGACTCTTACTGACTAAAAACCACCCCGTTCCTTCTCCTGCACGTCGAGCCGGAGCCCCGGTTACCCGTTAGGTTCTCCGCGACTCCGAATCGGCATCGGCCCTATTGGGCCCCATCTGTGGTGGTCTGATGGCTCTTTGAGGCGCGCGCGGAACGCGACGCGCCGTACGCTCGGGTCTCACTAAAGACATAATATTTAATGTCTGTAATGTAATCATTTAATAACACTTTGATTTCTCAATATTTAACACTTAAGCGAATAGGAGTAAATGAGAAAGTACATTGTTGTTAGTAAATTAATTTATTTCTTAATACTTAGTTAAGATACTTAGTTCAGATAAAGCACCATTGATAACATTCTATCATTAATATTAATCTATAATCAGGCACGGACACAAATTGTTAATAAGTTTTATAATCAAATATGATTTCCCTCAGGCTAGACTCTTGTACTTTGTGAACAGGTTATACAGCACCCGAAGAGTAGATTTGAGGTCGAGATTCACAATATCTGGAAAGAAAATAATAATTATGGTTGTAAATAAAAAACAATAACATGTTCCACAACTCTGTAAATATTAAATAACAACTTTTATTACCTTCGGGCCTTGCCTTTGGTTTGGCAAGTCCAACATCTTGCATCAGTTCAAAGGCAAAGGAGACATTATGGACTTTTTGGTCAAAATCCTCTGGAATCAGATAGAAATCATACAAAGGCACAAAGAACCCTTCCAGCAGGCCCATCAGAAGGCACAGATATACACCATCATGAAACTGGGTGTCCAAGTCCATCACTTCAAGATTGACTTTGCTCAAATGTTTGTTTACAAAAGTAATGAGTGACTTCTTCACAACCTGCAGCTTGTCAGGTGCATGATCAAACAGAGCGTCAAATGCATCCCTTTCGCATTTCATACCCAGGTCATCATAAGTTGTTGTGATTGTTTCAACAAATGTCCTGAAAATGGTTTTGATAAATTAAACCTAGATGCATGACATTTCTCCATAAACAGTTTTATAGCCCATCTAAGGTTACATTTGTTAGTAGCATGGAAAGTTTACCTGTGGGATAGTTGATTTGGCGTGTCCTTCTTCACAACCACAACATTGACGCTCACATTTTCAGGCAGACGTACTGGAGCTCGGTAGTGACGAGCCAGTGCAACAAGCAAATGCAATATGGATACAACATTCTTCGAGTGAATGGAATCCACACTCCACTTGGGGACAGGTTTAGCTGTTCCATACAAAACCTGGAAAAATATGAGAAAGATATTAATTAATCAAGAAAGTGAAGTATTTTACAATAGAAGTTGAAATACTAAATTACTTCTGAATTTAAATGCTTCATACCCGATTCACTGCTCTGAGTACAACAGCCAACTTCTGTCGTTGTCCCTCTTCAGACTGTGTTACCTCAGGCACATCCAGTTTGGTCTTTGTCAACATCTCCAGGAGCTTTTGAAGTACTTGGCCATCATATAAATCTTCACTAATATCCTTGACTATAATTCTCTGGGTGGCAAGTTCATCATTGATCCAATCAATAAGTACTTGAATAAGTTCTTTGACTCTTGGGTCCTCAAGTGACCTCGGCTCTATTATAGCTCTTTCTTCATTGTCATCTGGAACAACACTACAGGCAAGTTAATTATATGTAATTTATTTTATACATAATAATATAATTAACATTACAGTTAAAACAGATCAAACATATCTGTATTTGTTAAACAACCACTATTTTTCCTGTTTGTTGCAATGCTAGCTTTTCAGGAAAAACTAAACGAGACACGCCTATGTGATTCATATATACTTAATATTATATGTAGCACAAAAAATGTAAGTTATAAACTTAAGTTTTAAAGGAAACTTTATTGTTACTAAAACATGTACTTATAAGAGTCATGGTAGATGTAAGTGAAGCTTCCTTTCTGTTGCATGAGTCATACTATCTAATTATAGTAAGATCATGATAATGGTTGAACAAACAGGTAATTTTAATGAGACTATTGCTCATACTACTTACGTAAACTATATTCTTCAGGTGGTATCTCTGGAGCAGTTGGGCTCCCTGGAGAATCAATTGCATATTTTCCCTCAGCCTGTACATCTTGCACTGTGTACAAAACACAATTAATGTTATTAAAGGTAATTGAACATGACTGATAATATACCACTCTTTATGAAACATGAAAATATATTAGTTGAACATTACCTATTATTTATAATTTTATTAATAGTAAACAAATTAATGCTTGTTATTTGACTTTGAGTATTAAATAGAAGTGACAAAATGTTTTTTTAATATATTTTTCTTATTTTATAGTACAAAGAAGTAAGATACAACATTAAAAGCCCACACAATGACTTTTTATTAAGAATTTGTACGATTTTATAACAACACTAAAACATTTACCTTCTTTTATGCGCTTTTTACGTCCTATGGTGCCAATTTTGTCCCAAAATGATTCTTCTTTATCTTCCTTTTTAGGCAATACTGGAGTCCGAGGGGATTTTGGGCGCGGTGACGACATCTCTCACTACCTAGCTATAAAAATAAGGTCACAACCAATCAACACCTGGCCACTTATTCCAATAAAACTCATTAAATTTACTTATTTTCAAAGTAACTACTAGGAACACTATTTCTGTAAGTATTAAAGAAAATAATTTACTTGTAAAACTTACACATACCTTTTATTTTTAACTCTGATGGAAGGAAAACAAGAGCTCTAGAGTCAAACGCAAAACTTCAACATGAACAACCATAGACTGGATCACTGGAATAGATGAGCAACTGTCTGAGTGTCTGATGATGACAGACATTGAGGATGAGGAGACATTCTGCAAAAAAAACTTACACAAACCATAGACAATCGTATTGGAATACGAAACCCATCAAAACCGTTATTTTAATGTAAATCATTCGTTAGGTGATTTACTTACCAAAACTACATAATGTTTGTTGTTCCTTTGTCTGTAATGGGAATAATGGTTGTTCCCATCCCATTACATAAACTCGTTAATGACAACGAAAGCAATCGAAGTTAGGTATCAAAGTACGAATTTGGAATGGCTTGGACCCCGTTCACTCGATCGCTGGTATACGCGGACGCTTGAGCTAGACGCTACTCGTATCTCATATCAACTGCTCGTATTATGTAAAATATTAGCCTGATGATGAAGTTGTGGTGAAATAAATTTAACATGGCATCTGTCAAACAGACTGATGACAGAAAAAATACCAAATTATTGCAGAATAACGAAAAGTCTATGGTACACAAACACCTTGTCAAATTGTGTCACTTTGTGTCGAGTGAATACCAAAGAGCATTGATGAATAGTGAATAATACATACACAACTTGTTGATAATGTGTAACTAATACTACGAATTTTAAAAAATATCCTCCCTCCATTATTCTTCAGTGCAAGTATCGATTTCTCATCTAACTAGGTGTGACAACGTGGGTTGTTTATCCATCTATTATAAAACAGCCTGATTCGAGAAAAGCTCACGCTTCTTGTGTTATATAGGTTGGTGGAGTCATACCTAAAAATAGCTTCAAGATTATATTGCATCACAGTGACCGATTGTAAGGGGAAGTTAATATAGTTTACCTAAGTGTTTACTGAAAAATTCGCAGAAGACACGATGGAGAAAGGCTGGAATCCTCCTCCGTATGGCTGGGGTAACGCGCATACGACCCAACCACCACCAGCTGCTCCTCCTAGCTACTCGCAAGCTGTAGGGGGTGTTGGTCCTTCAAGCCCTTACACTCCTCAGTATCCTCCATGTAAGTAACATTGAAATTAACATAACATTTATTTCCTGTAAAATATTGTACATATTTTTATTTATTACCATTACATTGCCATTTTAGTTAGAGGTTGAAATTTGTAACATCAGTAACCAGAACTAATAAAGACTCATTTATTATTGTGGTAAAACAATACATGCTTAAGTACATTTTTATGCAGTTACACTTTGTTTATTCTATTTATGAATGTGTGTTACTGAAATCAAGGTCAAAACTGCTGTTGTATAAATTTTATTAATTTCACTTTAATTTGTACACCAATTAAATAGTATGGAAAATATATTAGTTACTGATGAATTGTGAATTGACATTTAAAATTACCAAGTTGAGCAAGAATTATAAGTAAAGTTGTAATATGGAAATCAGATTAAGTTGTGAAGGCACTGTGTTGATAGTTGACATTGATAATACCTAGTATTATTCTATGCTGCAATAAATAAATGTTAGTTGTTTTAATAAAGACAACCTTGTAGCTTAATATATAAAGGTCACTTCCTTGTAACATTTAGTCACCATTAGTGGGTTGATGATGGTTTTTTAATACAATTAGCACTCATTTTGCTCACCCTGACTGAAATGTGACTGCAATAATTAGCAATTGAAATGAACTTCTATTTAATATTTTTCAGAGCATTTACGTTGAAAATATAGAACTATAGATCACAGCAATTTACACAAAACTATTAACTTTTTGATATTGCACTTGCTAATATTTTAATGTTGCATTGCTAAATCGCCTTATTCTGTGATAACATTTTCAATGGCTGGGCACAAATTGGTAATACTGGTTAACTTTCCTATGCTCAAATACTGAAACATCTCTTAAATATTAAAGTAAATGATTGAGCAGTTATAAAACTCTAATTTTGTATACTCAAATGTCAGTTATTGACCTTTTAATCTTAAAAGTGCCTTACAATTACATCATGCTAAGAAGTCCATTTAGTGAAAAACTGCTAGTTACTGAAACCATACTAATTAACTCGTCGAGTACCGGTTTTATAGACACAATTAAAGACAATAGGTCGCGGTCACCGGTGACCGCTTGGTGTTTGACAGTTTAATACTTATTGTTAAGTATATGTCAATCTAATGTCAAAAGTCCACTCAAATGTAAGAGTGGTCTGAAGGTTACCTAAAAGCTTTGAGTGTGGTCTTTTCTTTGTGAAATTAAAGTTTACATGTAAAGTTGTGTGTTAAAAGTATCTCTATCATCCCTATCTTCTCTTTCGGCTGATGAAAGCCGTCCAACATGACTGCCTCGTTGGCCGAGTTGTCGCAATTGTGACTGCCGGGTAAGGGGTCTCGGGTTCGATTCCCGGGTCGGGCAAAGTATTACTGGGTTTTAAAAAAAAAAATTCTCAATAGTAGCACGGAGTCTGGAACTGTGCCCGGTAAATGGCAATAGGCTCACCCCCTATTACATGGGACTCATAACATAAATAGTGAAAAGTGGGTGTTACATTGTACAGTGGTATAATGTGCACCTCTGCCTACCCCTTCGAGGATAAAAGGCGTGATGTTATGTTATGTTAGAATTTCGTGCAAGATTCTGTATACCCAAAGAGACAGTTTTGTACTTGGACTCGATAGGAGAGGACTATGCTTGAGTCTCTTGAGAAGAATGGCAACTGTTATGAGGTAATCCAGCAGAGAACTAAAGTTACCAACGTAGCCCAAAGGGTTATCATTAGCAATGGGCCGACTATATCTGTTGAAGAACCGATGACTGTTGTGGTAGATGTGTTCTGAAGTGGAGAATGTGTCTAGATAAACGTGTAGGGCGCCCCCAGCTAGGTGGAGTGAAGATATCTGCAATGCAAGGTGGCTGGTAGTGATTGGGTGTGTAGAGTTGAAGATCGAAGGCAGAGGATGTCCAGCAGTGGACGACAACAGGTTGAAGATGATGATGAACTTTTACTTTTGTAATAGTTGTGTTAAGTGTATGTGCTGTGTTAATAACTAGGACGCTATATAAAGGCGGACATAATGTCCCTTAGAAGTGATTGAAGTACTAAAAAGGCAGTACCTTGTATGTGTGCGTGTGTAATGCGTTACCACGTCACCAGACATAAGAAAATGCCTATACCTTCGTGTCATTGTCAAGAGACTGTGTCCACCTTTTTTTTCAAAGTAGTTGCTTAATAAATACACATTTTCAATCTAATAAATTATTAAAAAATCATACTTTGTTATTAATTATAACACTAGCCACATTTTTATCATATGGGCGTTGGTCTCCTTGTTATTTACATAATATAGCGTAAACATAGCAAGAAGCACATAGCTTACATTACAGTTCTATGTACCTATACTATGCTTATACGTAGGTATTAAGTTTCATTGTATAATTTAATTCTTGATCAGCTCTAAAAAGATATAGTTTTTGGTGGTCGTATATAATTAGACACATGTTTTTTTTTCTTCCATAGTAAGATTAAAATTGCAGTAATGAACAATTTTAAGCCGGAGTTTCGTGCTTCGTTTCGTTAAAAGTCAATATATCTCTGTATGTCGATAATTCATTTATAAAAAAAAACTTAGTTACGTAATTCAAATCAATTTTGCACCACATATTTTATATCTGAAATCTGGTAGCCGAAAAATAAAAAGAACTTAAATTAAAATAATATTATGAATGTTAAGTCTCGTTTGATATTTCCCTAGAAGCTGATAATTTTTAAATGTTAATTTGATAATGCAACCAAGCAATTCCACAATTCATACAAATAATATCAACATCTCTAAAAAAACGTATGTGACAATTAATGCCATATGTCATATATCACAACCTTAACAATAAACTGGTAACATTAACTAAAAGTTTGTCTTGACTACATACTACATTTTGTCTTCAAATGATCACTTTGCCTTGACCCAATAGTCAATGCCACAGAATCGGGCTAAACATCACCTACCTCATACATGACTCATAGTTTTGAGTTATATTTGTTTAAGATTATTTAAAGAAAAATTTGCTGTATGACATACTTTCTTAAATATAATTATAATAATCAGTATCAAAAGTTATTTCGTAAAGCACAATTTCATAAAAGCACACAATTTAATAATAATTTATGCCTATAATTCTACTTACTACTAGCTACTAAGAATAAGTGAAGGTTAAGTAACTCTTAAAATAAACTGTATGGTTTGTGAAGGCCACCCAATTTGATTTCATTTTGGTAGCTATGTTAACTTAATATCTTCTGCTGGCTCCCACATAAACACAAGATATTTTGTGGTTTAGCAGTGAATGAGATCATTATAGTGCACAGAATTAATGATGAATATTGTGCTGCACAGAATTATCCTGAATTCCTTTGTTTTAATGATGTATCAACAGTATTATGAGTAATAAAATTGTTGTTCTCCTTGTTGTTATTGAGTAACTAATAATCGGGATTTAAATGGTATTTTTATTTTTTACACATTAGTGCTGCTCGTGGTAAATAAGTAACCGAAATTAAAATAAATCAGTACTTAAATAGAAACTAGGGCTTATAATCTTTTTCGTAAATAGCAGTTTAATTGCTTTTATGCTGTAGAAATTTTGGCCACAGTTACTGTTACTTTATATCAACAAATATCAAGATATACGCTCTTGTAAATAGAACAGAACTGTATTGACTTTTAAAATACTTGTAAATGTCAATGATATTTTTGCAGGACTTTTGCCGGAATACTGAAACGTTACTCAATTTTAAGTCGTGCTTAAATATCGTGCCGTCTCTGTCATTTTACAAAGAATTTGTGGAGACAGAACTATACTTAAGCGCGACTTAAAATTAAGTAGCGTTTGTGTATTCCGACATTTGTTTCTCATTTCATTAAATTAATTATGTTTCTATTACAGCCTCAGGGCCTTCGATAGTGACTACAGTGGTGCCAGTCGGTCCTCATCCCACCCACATGATCTGCCCTAGCTGCCATGCTGAAATAGATACAGCCACTCAGACTAAACCAGGCCTAATTGCTTACATTTCTGGAGCCATCATTTGTCTTGTGGGGTAAGTCAGTAGAATATAATTGTGTATCATGAAAGAATTTGTAAAAATTGGAGTGTAAATGTGTGAATAAATATTTATTGAATTCATAACCAACTACGTAAACACAACACAGTAAGTAACAATTGTATTAAATTTATTTCAGTTGCTTCTTCGGATGCTGCCTTATCCCATGCTGCATTGACAGCTGCATGGATGTGCATCACAAATGCCCTAACTGTGGAGCTTACCTTGGCCGCTACCGACGATAAACATCACAACCATCACGTAATCGACGAAAATAACTACATAATTGGAAAACTGAACATTGAGGATCTGCATGGGAAATCTTCATTTACTTTACACCCTGCCTATTACTCGATTTAGCTTTTAACAATAATTATTGACGATGAAAAAAAAACAATAATTTACGATCTAAAATAATCGAATAGATTATGTTCTCGAATGAAAGAAATCTCATAAACAACTTTTAAGTTAGATAGTTGCATTACTTATTTTAAGTAACAGTAATTTATAATTTATTGTCCCTAGTCAAAGGGCAGCATGCATGGCATTGCATGACAGCTAGAATAGGTGTCAATTATTATTGGTTGGGTTGTCCAGTAGTCCTGCCGAACACTTCGTACAGCACATCTTGGCTCTCGCTCAACTTGCGCTTGCGATGATGGGTTAAATCTAAATATCCGTCAAACTGAGCAATATTACGGTACTGCCTTCTTTAAAACGGTAGTTACCTAATGATACAAAAAGTGAGATGGCTTTCTAGCGACAAGTCAACTAACTAATTGAAGCTGGACTTGGAGGAAGATTACTTCTATTATTGATTTAAATGCTTAACATGAATGTCTTTATTATTTGTTTTCATACATTCATAGTACAATTTAGTATGAAATGCAATTATAACTTGTTGACTTATTTAATGAGGTAATTTATGAGTTGATTCGTTTTTACGTGTTTTTAATATTTAAGAGTAAGCCATAGCGCGCATTTATGCATTAAGCAGAGTTATATTCAGTGCCAAAATGTCTTCCCCATGGCCCGACGACTTATCCCTCGTATCACATGTTACATGATTTTAATAAATATTCTAAATGTTTAGTGAGTAGAATACCACATGATGCGTATTATTGTATGTATGGTATGGTATGTGTAGAATAGTAACTACAATAAAGGTCTGTTTCACAATGTCTCATTATCTTTGTTAGTCTGACAGATAATTTGACTTATTTTTCAGTGTGTCAGTCAAACTTAAAGAAATTTAATGAGACATTGTGAAAAAGGCCTTATATATCTCTATTGACGTCATTGCATCATAGCATCACAATTTGGACCCCAAAAACCTGAAATCAGGCTTTATGTGTTTATGTCGTATAAATCCATAGTAGTCCCCGTAGAAATTACTCAATATGTAATAGAATGTGAACTAAATGTTGTATGGAAGCTACTTAAATGTGTTGGATGTTATTTCACAGTATTAAAAATGTGTTTTGTTTCTCTCCATACATATTATAATCTCACCTCTTTGGTTAGTCTGACTAACAGCTTAGTTTTATAAAAAAAAAGGTTTATGTATGATCGTTATAATCTACTTTCCAGTTAATACTAATGTTATGTTGATATTAATAATAGATTTTCACAGCATTTTAGGAGTACATCATTTTACATAGATTAATGTTATTGATATATTGAGTAACTGTGTGTATCTTACGTATTTGGTTAAGGAAACCATTGTTACCAGCCTTTTAATTAATTTAGTTTTAATTTAGTCACTTAAGCTAATTTTATTAATTTACTATTATTATTTACTGCATAATAGGAAATATTGACGGACACGGGTTGTCAGTGATTTATTTATGTTTCACAATAACTCAACACTGTTTGGCCTAACATTTTTCAATAACAAATACATACATACAAGTCCAAATAAATTGTTGTTGAGCTTGATTTTAACAATCAAAATACCCAGTTACATTTAAAAAGTACCTTACTGCCAACAGCATTTAGCCATATTGGTGTCATGTAATTTCATGACATGAATCATTGTTGATTTTTATTGTATTTACATTCTTCATGATCTGTTTTAGATTAGTATAAAATAAAAATGAAGTGAAGACCCTTATTGGTATCTAATAAAATTCGGAAAATTAGTTTACAAAATTTAGATATCTACTTCTATAAAATATATAAATATTTTAATAAAATAATTTCTTTATACCTACTACAGGCATTTTACATTTTTATATAAATTTATATGTATATTTAAAACTTGCCTGCTTTAAGCTATTTTCTTACTACTTACCATAAAAAGTCTATAATGTACCTATTTTTTTTTCTATTTATATTTTATATTATTAAAAAGAAATAGATTTATGGACTGTCTTAACAAAAATAAAGGTTTATTAATGTCGTAAGTGAAGACTTTTAATCTAGACATTAGAACTGACCACAGCACAACTTCAGACTCTGGACTAGTTAATATTTTATACCTATTTAATACTACTTACTATAATTTATACCTCTAAACTATTTAGGATTTTACAAACTTATGGCCGACTGTCTCTCATGTCCAGGTTCTTATCCTCATATAAACTTATTTATGTTTTTTGTTTTGACTACTTTGCAAAAAGAAATGTAGACCACAGTTATAGAGAATTTAATTATCTACAATACAAACATCCAAACAGCACAACACTCCTATGTAGAAAATGAAATATTTGCAATAAATATTGCTTTTTTAATCTTTGGTCACAAAACTTCTATAGACGCGGACGGCCTACGATAAGTAGGTTTTGAGACAATTATTATGTAGTCAAAACAAATTTTTTTATAAGTTTTCAGTCGAATATCTCACATTCCGAGATCCTTACCTTAATAACCCTAATCTTCCTTGGTTATATAGGTATATAGTATCACTATTTAAAGCCTAAGTATAAGTAGGAATCAAGGCAGTAAGATAACGATGAGATACCTCTATAGTCATATCTGGATATTTGAAATCAGACCTTTAACAAAAAATAAATAAGTATCAAGTAGGTCATGTATATTTGTCCCAGTAGGGAGAAAGAAAGAAAGAAAAAAGACATTTCTTACACAAATTGAGAGGGACAAATCACAGCACAGAGTAGGTATACAATAAAGTACGTTTATAAAAAAATAGTTATATTATTATACCATAATCTATAGACTGCCTCGTTGGCCGAGTGGTCGCAAGTGTGACTGTCTCGGGTTCGATTCCCGGGTCGGGCAAAGTATTACAGGGTTTTAAAAAAAATCTCAGTAGTACCACGGAGTCTGGAATTGTGCCCGGTATATGGCAATAGGCTCACCCCCTATTACATGGGACTCATAATATAAATAGTGAAAAGTGAGTGTTACATTTTACGGTGGCATAATGTGCACCTCTGCCTACCCCTTCGGGGATAAAAGGCGTGATGTTATGTTATGTCATAATCTATTATCAGTACCTACGTGGTTATACGAAAACTACAGATGAATAATTTTTAAGTGAATAGTATTTAAATAGTACCAAAAACAATGCTTAGGTACATTGTTTCGTCATGTGAATGAATTTCAACAACGCACCAGTAAATCCTCTGATGTTGCAAATGTCCACTAGGTCCAGGTAGGTACTAGGTATATTAATAGTTTTACAAAATTCTGAACACCTTGTCTGTAGTCAAGCCAGTTGCGCGACAAGCAGACGGATCACACGACAATAAACAATCGACACCGCCTAATGGTTATCCGCAATACCAGAGTTACAAGTGCGTTGCCGTCTTCTATTAACGTTGCCCTTATGGCGAGACACATAACACAAGCTTAATTTACATCTTTGTCCCTCAGCTTCCTTTCGATTTGTTCGGGTCGAGAGGGCTCCCTCGACCTTGTGCTGAAGAATACGACACTCTTATCTCCCTCTCAATTAGACGAGAAAATTGAAAAAATCTTAGTTGGAAAAATTATTATAATATTTATTTTTCACTATTGAATTTACACTTACCTATTCTTATTATTTATTGTAACCGATTAATTAACCGTAAAAACCCAATAAATTCGTTTCGATTTTCAACAGTTATTTTAAAATGATTGAATCGATTTAGTTATAATTTTATCTGGGAATGAAAAAGGATGCAATAATATTTAAAAAATGGTGTTCTAGAGATAATGTTATAGTACCTCATGTCCAACACATAATATGAATATTTAGATAATAATTGTTTTCAACAGTTATTTTAAAATGATTGAATCGATTTAGTTATAATTTTATATGGGAATGGAAAAGGATGCAATAATATTTAAAAAATGGTGTTCTAGAGATAATGTTATAGTACCTCATGTCCAACACATAATATGAATATTTAGATAATAATTGTTTTCATGCGGGAAATAAATTAAGTAGGTACTTATATGAAAAAATATAACTATCGACGCATTGTCCAATACAAAACAATTTATTTCACGTTTAATAAAGAGATGGTTATTTCTTTTTACCTTCTAAATGGTTTAGTCTAGTAGGTACATTATTTGTAGGTATTCAAATATTTATGGGAGATACTTTGATGAAAGATTTTTTGTCGTAGGTTTTGATTTTGATTTTGTCCTACTTTTGCACCTAGTTTTTGCAGGATTTTTGCAGGTTGCCAATTTAGTTCCTATTGTATGGTAATGCTGTCGCGGAGAACCTAACGGGTTACCGGGGCAACGGCTCGACGTGCAGGAGAAGGAACGGGGTGGTTTTTAGTCAGTAAGAGTCTGACACTCCCTCCCTCCACAGTACTCCACACCCAAGCAGTCATTCGATGATTTTTTCCATGTTTTTTCCCCCCTTAAAAAAAAATTGTATGGTAACGCTGGCTGGTTTACACGCAGAATACACACACATTGACACGAAGGACATCCGTCGCATGACATGGCCCCTCATTTCAGTATGTACTTACACTTCATTGATACAATAAGTAGGTACGGTATTGGAAGTACACGTACACACATAACTACCCTACTGACATTTTGGTGCCTCAATAATTTCCATCCAAGTGGCATTACGTCCTCCTATTTTTTTAATGTCCTTGTTTGGTTTATAATTTTAATTTTCCAGCTGTCCATAGACAAATTTTTTCTTTCTAAAGGAGTGTGGAACTGTCAAATGCGTCGGCTAAACGAGTGACAGTTCCGCTAGGAGTATTATAAGAGCCATTTCACACGTTCCAGTTGCCAGGTCCGGGTAGCCGGCGCCGGGTATCTGGAGGAGCAGTGTATGGATGAATGAGCATGATTTCATACGCACCGGCGCGTTGTCGCTCAGCTACAATCAACTATCTATAGGCATGTCTATAGGCATTTTTATTTCTTTTAAATCAAAAGGTAGTTCGTTTAAGCCAGTTGAGTTTGAAGTTTATAAATCCAAGTGAAAACTAGTTTTATTTATTACGACTATGAGGTGACGTGGCGACGAGGATATTCAAAATTACGCATTAAAAATGTCTATAGTAGCGACCTATGGCGACGTTCGACGTTTGACAATCGTTCCCAAGAATGGGACAGTTTTAAATCGCGATTAAATCAGTGGTTTATTACGAACGACATTACCTCGCTTACAGACAAATCGGATTCTAAAAGCAAAGCGATTTCGATATCGTTATGTGAATTATCATTCAGACTAGCTTGTTTAATTCACACAATAACTAATTATTGCATTATACATTGAAAAAATATAACAAATACAAAAACTGTTCTGTAAAAATGTGATACCGGACAGTCGGAGCCGGCTACGCGGCAACCGGATCGTGTGAAAAGGCATTAAGTGTTTTGTCTGTGGTCTCTGTCTGTGTGTGAGTGACAGACGGACATCGCACCGTGATCGGTCGTTTGCCCGTGGTTGAAGATAGAATAATTTTATAAAAAGAAAATTAGATTTTTATTATTCTTTATTGAATTAAAAAAGCTACCTTAGGCCAACATGTCGTGGTTATTTGGGTACAGTTCTACGCCTCCGCCACCCTCTGATGTTCCACCTGCAGATTCTGGAGGGTCTGCCGCACCCCCAACTAACCTAACCAAATCTGAAAAGAAAGCCATGGAAGCCTATCGTTTTGACTCTAGTGCTTTAGAAAGAGCTGCACAAGCAGCTAGAGAACTAGAACGCTCAAGTAAGTACATAAAGTATGTTATTATCAATCACATTGCGCGCTATTGCATAATGCGACCGCATAACCTTACAGACCGCGAGCGAGGCCTACTTTTAATTATAACTTGTATATTTTAATGGATCTTATCATGTTTTGGAATATTACACTTAAAAAAACAGTACACATGTTCTTGTGTCCCTGTACTATGATCACCTATTATTGCTATTAGTATAGTGGTTACATAGGTTATAGTACCTAGTAAAGATCTGTAGATAAAATTCATGTGTTATCAACCTTATTAAGGGTCTAATTGCATTGATACAAAGAATGAAATTATAAAGTTCAGATATGTTGAAGAAACTGTTTAGTCTGTTGTTATACTAGCATAATCTTATAAGATTTTTTTTCATATAACTAAGATGCATAAAAATGTTATCTCTGTAATTACATAAAACCAAGGTACACACACAGCTAGTAATGCATACTATATAGCATACACATGCATACAGCATATAGATAGTGTTCAGTCTCAGATGAAGAAAATGATGTATAAATATTGATATTTACTCATATTTTTCAAGAAATACTTTGTCTATGATATTTAAATTTTGCTATTAAAGGGTGGTGGGCAAAAGTCTATGAGCGGCACACCCACATCCATCACAGCTCTGACTACTTCTCACAGCAATGGATCGCTATGCCAGGGAACCCCGGGGTAGAATTTAATGAATTTTAGGATTTACAATAAACAAATATGAAAAACATATACCAATATGAAAACTAAAAAGTAATTTTCCTATATCAATAGTCAAGTGAAAAGAAGTTTATTGTTTCTGCTTGTTCATATACTGTGTGTAAAGGACAAACTGAAATATATTTACAATGCTTATTTCTACAGAACATTCAAAAGAAGCCTTGGAGTTAAGTAAGCTACAGGAAAGTACCAAACAGACAGAACAAATGGCTAAAATAAAAGAATATGAAGCTGCCATAGAACAAGCCAAAGTCGAACAGAAGAGAATTGATTATGAAGAGCGCAGGAAAACATTACAGGTATGCACACTTGCATCAATACTTTCATCATGAGAAAAATATTACGAGCTTAGATTGTTTGTTTTGACAATAATTGTATTGTAATGTTTTAGGAGGAAACTAAACAACACCAAATGAGAGCCCAGTATCAAGATCAGTTGGCTAAAAAGAGATATGAAGAGCAGCTTGTACAACAGCAAAAATCTCAAGATGAAATCCTTAGAAAGTATGTACCAATACAATATTTTTTTTTGACTACAATTTGTTGTCTTCTTCGGCAGTATATTAAATGTTATTGTAGTTAGCGCTTCAGTTGTGTGACCTGTGTCCCATCCTCTCATTATCATTATATGATTTGGTGTGTCGTTCAATTCCTTGTTTTACTGTTGGTATTTGTGTCGTAGTGTAACAGTTCAATGGGTATAAATCAAAGGCCATTGGTTATCATGCGGAGTGAGTTATTTTGGAAACTGTAATATTTCATTTATTCCTATATATTTGAGTAGGACGCGGCACCTCACAGTTGCATCCCATATGTCCAAATAAGCTTCAATATTATAGCCTTGTGCAATAGTATCTTATTCTCTAAGGAGAGTTGAGTCTTGCGACCAATAAGCTAATATAGCTTACTTGTTTGGCAACCAAGTTGCTTTCTTTATGTGAAAATGTCTGTCTTCTTTTGTCTTGCGGAACTTTATGTCATGAAGTGTAACTGGGTGAAGTCAACACCACCTTTCTCGCAAAATATGATCACAAGATTATGGGTTGTGACAGTCACTTCCTACTGTCACTAAACAGACATGGACCTGGATAGGTCTGGTTATTTGGCGGTGCCAGATATTTGGCTTAGTCACTCATTTTGCACCATCCAGGTTTTCCTAGGCTGACCCTACGGTGGGCTTAGGAGAAGGTGGTAATTTCTTCGGACGCGAGTAACCTTATCTTCCAATTCAATAATTTGAATTACTTTTGTTTTATTGAAACCCTAATTGCTTGTATGATTGCATTCTAGACAAGAAGAGAGTGTAGCAAAGCAAGAGGCATTACGGCGTGCTACTATTGAACATGAAATGGAGCTAAGAGAGAAGAACAAACTCAAAGCTATTGAGGCAGAAGCTCGAGCCAAAGCTAAAGCTGATCGTGAAAATCGTGATATCACATTAGAACAAATAAGATTAAAGGCAGCTGAAAACAGAACCACTATTCTAGAAGGTATCAAGTAAGTATAAAATTTACAGCCAAATATGTAAATTATGTGTTTGAAGAAACATGTTGATGAGTACCACTTTTATTTTATAACAGGACAGCAGGGAGTGTTGTGGGTACTGGCCTTAATGCTCTTGTGACTGATTGGGACAAAACTCTAGCTGCTGCTGGAGGATTGTCACTTTTGGCTCTTGGTGTATACTCCGCTAAAGGGGCAACATCAGTGGCTGCAAGATTTATTGAGGCTCGCATTGGTAAATATACTTTTATCATATTAATTTATTTAAAAAATATTAATCTATATATATACAAGAAAGTCGTGTTTGTTACACCACTTATAACTCAAGAACGGCAGAATAGATTTGGCTAAAAATTGGTAGGGAGGTAGCTTAGAGCTAGGAGACATAGGATACTTTTTAAACCAAATGTTTTTTTTTACTTTTTTTCCGAAAATCACGAACAGGGACGGGAAAAAATGGCATGGTACGCGTACGAAGTCGCGGGCAGAAGCTAGTACTTAGATAAATTTTGATTATAATTTGTTGTTTTTGTTGAACAGGCAAACCCACCCTTGTGAATGAAACATCTAGATTCTCTTTACTGGAAGCTGTTAAACATCCCATACTCACCGTTTCCAAAGCAATTCAGAGTTTCAAAAAGCCATCAGATGCTTTAGCAGGCGTTGTTCTAGCACCAACCCTTGAGCGACGACTTCGAGACATTGCTATTGCAACTAAAAATACGCGTTTGAACAAGGGATTCTATAGAAATCTGCTCATGTATGGACCTCCTGGAACTGGTAAAACTTTGTTCTCAAAGGTTAGTACAATTACATTTTTATTTTAGTTTTAACAAATAAGTACTATGGTTTAAGTGTTTTAATCAATAATCATTATTGTTACTGTTAATTTATTATTCTTGTGCTAACTGTAAAATATATTTTCCAGAAACTGGCAAAACATTCAGGCATGGAGTATGCTATACTCACGGGTGGTGATGTTGCCCCCATGGGAAAGGATGCTGTTGCAGCTATACATAAAGTATTTGATTGGGCTAATACAAGCAAAAAAGGTAATTTGGAAAATAAAAGCACAATATGTAATGTGGTGTAAATGAAACAAAAAATTTCTGCACAAGTGATAAAATTGATTTATATATATTACTTAAAATTTTAGGTGTACTCCTCTTCATTGATGAAGCTGACGCATTTTTGAGAAAGCGTTCCTCTGAAAGAATTAGTGAAGACTTGAGAGCAGCGCTCAATGCATTCCTGTACAGGACATCTGACCAAAGCAATCGGATTATGTTGGTGCTTGCTTCAAACACGCCTCAACAATTCGATTCTGCGATTAACGATCGTCTCGACAAGATGATTGAATTCGGACTGCCTGGTCTTGAGGAGCGTGAACGATTGATTCGTCTTTACTTTGATACCTTTGTTCTTAAGCCTGCATCAGAAGGAAAGAGGTATGAAACCAAACCATCATAATGAAATTACTTCGTTTAACAAAACATAATGGGTTCCTAAAATACTAAATTATAATTATAAATATTTCACAGGCGATTGAGTGTAGACCAATTCGACTACAGTGCATTATGTACAACACTCGCCGCCCGGACAGCTGGTATGTCTGGCCGAGCACTCTCCAAGTTGGGTGTTGCATGGCAGGCGGCAGCTTACGCCTCTGACGATGGACGCCTCACTGAGCAAATGTGTATTGATATATGTGACGATGCTGTTCGAGATCACCGTCAAAAGGTGGGTTCCTAACTGTACAAGTTATTAAATATGTGTAACTTGAATTTCATGTTTATGTTTGCTTCTGGTGCTTTTTGTTTAAAGTTTTAAAACTATCATATTTTATTTATAGATGGAATGGCTGTCATCTGAGGAGAAATCGCGAAGTATGATGCCATATCTTCTAGACTTGCCTCCTTTGGATGTAGAACACAATGAAATCGCTCAAGTTGTTAGCAAGAATCATACAGTGGCGGAGGATACAAATGAATCCAAAAATGCACAAAAGAAGAAAGAGGATATTGTTGAATTAGAAAAGTGACACAGTGTTAAATCTACTAACATGGCAGATATAGCTGTAAACAACTTAATATGTTCCAGTCCCTCACAAAATATTGCTAGCTGTGATACAAATCAAAAGTATAAATACAATTGTAAAAGGTCTGACTTCAAAAAATTCATTGTACTGAATGATCAGGATATGGAAGTTTTGCGTAAATTATCTCAAAAAAAGAAAGTTGTTACAAGACAGGAGTGACTTAAAAATAATAGTTATTAATGTATGGTTTTATTAACAGTGTGTATTTAGGATTCAACAAGGATGTTAAGCATGGGATAGATAACTTTTATAAACAAATACCTTGTTTAAGAGGTGTAGGGATGCGTTCAAATTACGAAACTAATGTTTCACACATAAACGCGAACTCATCATTATGTACCAAAATTGTACTAGGTATTTTTAATGTTTTGGTACCTAATGTTTTTATCTTCTTTTCTTAATAAATATGCTTGTATGTACTTTGTGCAAAGCAGAATAAAATATATTGGTACAAAAGTAGAAAACTAAACATTTAAGCTTCCTATCCAAAAGGCGTATGTTGTAAGTCAGCTGTAAAATATGCATTTTGTAATATTTCATTAATCGAAATGTGTCATAATTTTATTGGATTTTAAGCATCAAGATGCATGATTCAAGATGTGCGTGTGCAATTGCCTGCAAATATTTAGATGCTAAATAGATGCTACAAATAAATTGTAATAAAATAAGCATTTATTTAGGAGTTTTATCTATTGAGAGTATTTGGTTGTTTTATCTATAATAAATAGTTTGTGGAGGTCACAGTGGAATATTTTTATTGGTGGTAAATAAGACATTTCAATCGGCAAATCCATAAAACCTTTATTGCATAAATTTTACTGACAATTTTATGTGTCCCTTCTTTTAAAGATAAAAGTGTTGTATTTCAGAGAAAAATCTTCGAATAATGATGATGTAACTGTTTAGCTTATGCTATTTAGATAGTTTGTTGATATCATTTTAGTCACGGTTACACTAGTAGTGCATATTAGAATATTGTTAACAAGAAGTTTGTTTTATTTCAATAATCCTTCCTTTATTTGTGTGGGTGCACTGAATATGACTAAATTATTAATGTTTATATATGTGCAATATAATCCTATATCAGTGAATTACCCTGCCTCTCAAATGTCACAATATACCAAGTATGGCAGATCAATGCAATTACAAGTTCAAGATCTACAAGTCTTTCGTTATCTATTTTGCTTGTGTAGTACAATAACATCATAAAAATTACAAACACAGTTATTAACTGTCGTACAGTTGCAATAAATTATATCGACAAAGGAAATTATGAAAATAACAATTTTATGTTAAACGTGAATATAATAATGATTAACAGTTTATAATCTATCTCCAAGATGCAGTTTTAAGATATCATGGATGAAACAAACATGTATTGATTTCATAAAACATGAAATTAATATTAGAAAAGACATGTCAGACTAGGTATATTCAACAGTGGAACAATTTTATTAACCTGGCACAATAGAATATCACATGCCCTCATCATAAGACATACCTTATTATACATTAAAATAGTAGAAACATTAGTATCCACATATATACAGGTGTCCCTGGAGGAATGGACCAAATGGAACAGGGTCATAGAAGAGGACACCCTTATCTTTTTGCTCTGGGAAAACTTAACAGTTTAAAGTTATGACCAGTAATATATTAGTTTTGTTCAATTGCCCATTTCCCAATATGCTCAAAGAACAGACCGCAAACAAAAAACCATCGGAGGTACCAATGTAATTTTTATTTTTAGACTTTCAACAAGAGTAGAAATTTCTTTTCACCATACTTTTATACACATAGTTGAATTTGGTTCCACCAGTAGTAAGCTTTGTATACCAATGAATATGATTGGTGGATGCCAAACGCATCCCCAGCAACAGGAGTCTTCCTAAACAAAATTCTATAAATCCTTAACTACTTGTGGTTCATATATCTCTAATCTGTATGAATGGAGTAAGTATTTCTGATACAAGCCTCCTGTATGTCCGCCCCTATTCGATTTTATCCATACTTTTAGGGATACCTGTATAAATTAAAATCATTTGCATAGACCACGATTAAATTATTATTAAAGCATAGTTGTTTGTTCAATAAAACTTACATCAATTGCAATTCCTAAGTTGTACAGGATAACTTATACATGGAGATACAAAGGAAAACAATGGTCACCAACATATTTCAATGACTGAAAATAGAAGATATTTGATATCTTACGAAATCTTGTGTTGGTTATCTTTCCTTGCAAAACTTCCAATAGGCAAGTAAAATTTTTATCCATACTATATTTTGATATAAAAAACTTGTCACCTATACTGCAGTTTGGTGAAAGTCTTTGTAATATCGCAGATGATTTAAAAATATAATAAAAACAGACATTAGGAATTTGCCATAAACTTAGTTCAACAACATTTAGACTATAAATACATCTCAAAATGGAATAAAAGTACATCAATGAATAGATTAATAAGACTTATAATAACATTGAAAGTCGCCACCGTTTCCTTGACCAAGCAACAGTTTATTACAGCTATAATATGCATTTCGCTAGCTTGTTTAATTTCATGTATGTTAAAACTTACACAAATATGTAATAAGAAATATTTAAAAATCATTTACCAATCTTTTTGGTATATGCACCATTCTTACAATTAATATTTTCGAATAATAAAATTTTATATTAAGACAAATACAAAAAGTTGTAGCTACCATATAAAGAATACTTTAAAACTTAAATGAGTTGTATAAATCAAAAATCTATTATAGTATGCAAATAATATATTACATTTTTACAAGTATTCAGCCAAAGATATATACGAGTGACTACTAGAGACATGTTGTTATTATGTCTGTGAGTGTTGTTTAATGTTACATGAGTGTACATGATCTTAGTTGCTCCGATTACCTGAGCAACAAGAGGACTGGGTCGGTGGTGCCTCATCGTCAACCACCACCACTTGTGAGGTTCTGTTAACATCTGTTTGAGCATTTTGCTCATACCTCTCAATCATAGTTCTGGTAAGATCAAGGAAGAGTTCCTCAACACCTTGGTTCAATTTGGCCGAAGTGTAGAAATGTTGAGCGCCAACCATATTGGCATAGCTGAAATACAAGCAGAGAATAATTTAATTCTAATTACTGTGTGCCATATATAATCATATTCATATAAACCTGTACATATGTGAAGCTTTACCTCTCTGCTTCCTCGAGTGGCACAGTTCTTTCATGTTCTAGGTCAATTTTATTCCCTGCTATTGTGAGAACAATATCAGATCCCAACATCTTTTTCAGTTCCTTAACCCAGTTTTTCACCTACAAAAATATTTTGTGTATATTAACTCGTCGAGTACCATATTTATAGACACAATTAAAGAACAATAGGTTGCGGTCACCGGTGACCGCTTGGTGTTTGATAGTTTAACTAAAACACAGTGATCAATAAAATTCTAATTAGTTACACAATATAAAAGTCTAGTAGTCTAGAATTGGAATTATATAGGCGAGATGTTACTGTTTTGTGACTCATAACAGAGTTTAAGCATTTGGTCTTAATTTGGTTAGTATGTTGCTATAAAGAATTTTCCCTTGTTTTTATGTCATATTAAAATGATGGTTGTAATGAATCATAAGGTATGATAGAGACCGGATTATACAAAGTGGTTAAATATGCACCACCGAGTTTGGTTCTAATTCTGGAGAAGTATGTTTAGGATGCATTTGACTTAATGTTATTTTGCAATCTTCAAATAGATTTTTTCCTAATATAACAAAACATTGAGCACAATCTAGACATTACCTACATTTCTACTAGTACTAGGTATGTGTAATATAGGTTAAAGAATGTTGAAAATATGGGCTTTTGGTGTATGCAAATACGTACTGTTTATGTTACATTACAACAAGTTAAAGTGAATACATACCTTTCCAAATGAATCTTCATCTGTGATATCATATACCAAGATAGCCCCATTGGAGTTCCTGTAGTAAATTGGGCCCAATGCATGGAATTTTTCTTGACCTGCAGTATCCCAAATGGAAAGGTTTACGCGTTTGCCATTAATATTTAATCTCTTGTTTAAAAATGTGGCCTGTAATAAAGAATGTTTGTCATTTAGGAAGAACATGTGATATTCATGAGGGTACATCATATTTATCATGCACTGAATACTTTCTAGTTGTACAAAGGTAATAAAAAAACCTAGGCAGACTAAGGAATTTAGTAGGTTACACTTGACTTTGACTATCATATGTAGGATTTCTTTACGATTGTTAAATGTATAACAAAATTAAATATTCTTCTTGTATCTACCTGCAGTGTAGTAAGATGTTTATCGTTGAATTTGTCTTCTATATAACGCAACAGCAAAGAAGTTTTTCCAACACATCCCTCACCCAGTAAAACAACTTTGAAGTTGTGAGTACCGCTCGGCGCGGTAGCCATTATACTTATAGATTCTTGGAACCTTCAAACTTAGCTGAAGCAAATTAAATTTGTAGCAGTTAAGAAATACGTAATCGCTACATACAAAGAGCAGATTGGCTATTTTACATCACGAACAACCACAAAAGCATTTGCTAGTGACATATAACAAAGTATTGGTATGTACCACTTGTTAATTAATAGTAAAAATCGAAGAACTTTCCAGTTTATAGAATACAAATCGGAATTATTTTTCAACAAGCCCTATAATGTCAGTTCTTAATGAAAATGACAAATATGACAATTTGATAAAGAACGTCAAAGACGTCAAACTTCAAATGTGAATGTACACAACATTACAGATTAAAAAATAGAACCATAGATAAAAGTACCTTTAAAGGGAAGTCCGAGGTTTTGAGGGTTTTATCAGATTTCCAATATGCCATTCAAGAAAGAAAAAAATATTTGGATTGCAAGAATGGTTTCTAAAACACAATAATATTGTCATTATTTCACGATTTAAGCTGCGTTATCTATTTTAAGAGAAGGAAGTGGGAGTGGGACATTGATTGCACGGTTTGTGATGTGGTGTGGTGACCGGCCCCTGTGTCACGGGTCGCGGGTTCGATTCCCGTGTCGAACAAAAAGGTGATAATGGCATTTTCTGTACAAAATTACTGAAGTTTTCCTGACTTCGGTAATTTAGTTCGGCGGTGTTTCCATCTTCGTGCCTCGGAAAGCACATAAGCCGTTGGCACAGAATACTACCATTGGTTCTGCGCCTAATCAATCAATAATTCCAAACTTTAAACATTTGGAAAAAAATACCTATTGACTTTATTTGCCGCAAACTACAGAAAATGCACGATTGCGTTTTACATCGCTTTAGTGATTTTAGTACTAAGTAGCTACATAGTCGAAGGAAAGTTTTTGGGTTGGCAATTGGAACGGAGCACCTATTGGACTTAGTTTCGTAGCATTAATTATTGTCCTACGTCAGCACGTAGCACCTGCATCAGCATGCAGGTATACTCATTGACAACAATATTATGGAGTAAGTAAATAATAAAGCAATGCTCAATCCTTAAAATAGGGTAAACCGTATAGCTATTGCCCACTTAACGACTTCAAACAGGTTAACTTAAAAAAAAAAAACCGTATTAGAGCTGGCAAATTTTTATTACAATTTTCTTATAAACTACAAAAGTCTGTAACAGATAATCGAAATTATTTAGTTAAAAAGTTAACATATCTTAGAAATAATATGAAGAAAAAAAAATTATCAAAAAATACAGTCATTGCCCACGCAATATAGTAATTACCATCATAAGAGCACAGTAATTGCCCATGATCTCAAAATGCTAGATTAAGGCCTAAATTGACTTTAAACATAAATAATTATTCGAAACAAAAAAAAATTAAACTTAATTTTATAAAAAAACACAGTTTAAAGAAACAAAACTATAAATTTTTAACAAAACTCTTAACTTTCTTAGGTTATCAGTCTCAAAATAGATTACGCTTAGCTTTATTAATCACACCAAATAATTCTCTTGCTGACAATGATGAGTCAGAATCACCTGAGTCAGAATCTTTTACAATAAAACAACGATGGCACAAAAATAACCTTAAGTCGGCGTCGTCGGGGATATGTTCTTTATGTTTTTGAGGAATACAACGCATGTGATAGGTTTTTGAACAAGCACTGCAGGTCAACGGATTTTTCATTATGCTGAAATGACAAACTACACAAATAGTAGGCTTGATTATAATGTCGCTTAAAATAGTTATCTTTCCACCTGTTGCTACCTGTTTATTTTCCTTATGGCTTATATTTAATTCTTTCGTCTTTGGTGTACATTGGAGATGGTGCTTAAAAGTTTCAGTCTCGTTGTCGTTATTTCCCTTGATTGTATCAATTTCCTCTGAATCAACTTCACTATTGATATTTACTGCAGAATTTTCATTGTTAGGTTTCTTGGTTATTTTTATGGTGTTCTTACTTTTTTCAGCTTTTTTCTTGTCTCTAATCAACTTCTTTTCTTCCTTGATTTTTAATAAATTTTGCTTTTCTACTACTTTTACATGTAAAGCTTCTTTAAAATTTTGAGAACTTATAGCGTATGGTTGTCTTTCTGTTTGTCTTTTTCCTTTCCTTATGGGCGTTTCCGGGTAAGCTAGATACTCTCCCAGTGAATATTTTCTTTTTATAATTTTAGGACTTGGTAACTGAGGCGTAGAGTTTGCCGCCGCTACTGCAAATGAAGTACTTGCTCGTGGCTCTTCAGAAGATATTTCTGGGGTATATTGTTTTTGTAGAGTTGTCGAAGCTGTTGTAGGTTTATATTTGGTATACTCAGGCACTGAGGAGAAAAGATCACACGTTGAAAGACTTTCTATTCCCTCAGATGTTTCTTCTGTAAGTGAGTGTAAATCGACAATGTTTTCAATTGAATCTTCATTGTTTTCTTGTGTGATAACTGAGCAATCTACTACTTCGTTAGTATTAGATTCAATTTCAGCATGCTTAAATGATTCCCATAACTTAAATAACATATCCAAGTGTTCAGTAACTTTTTGATGCGGCAGTTTGTGACGTCTATTTTCGAAATCCTTAACAATAGATGGTCCAACGATCTTTGAAAAAGTAGAATAGGTTATCGTTGCTAAATCTGGAATAGGTTTTGTATTTTGTACAGACAACTTATTGCTTGCAGCACCAAGGCATTTTCCATAGTCAATGGCATCCGGATTAAATGGACATAGACCACACGCTTTAAAGCCATTAACTAATATTTCAGGTCTTAGACTCGTCATAACGGCATCATTAAGTACAGGTGCAAAATTTAATTTTGTGAGACTTTGATTATTGTGTTCATTTTGCCATTTCCTTAAAGATTTTCTCCATCCTACTTTGAGAGGTCTAAAAGCAGCTACATCGGCTGGCTGAAGGATTCTTGTTGCGTTTGGGTAGAGTGCAATTAATTCGATCTGAAGATGAGTACAAAGCTGGCTTAAATGGAAATTTAAATGAGTCTTATGACCGTCTACATAGAGAATGACTGGGAATTCGACGTTTTTGCTGACGAGATATGGATAAAATACATTAGCAATGTATTCATAGAAAACTTCCGTTGTCATCCATCCTGTGTCAGACTTGCCAAGCCCCCATCCATCAGGTACAGAATCAGCAATTTTTTCAGGTAACCTTTGATAAGGATAAACAATGAATGGACAACAGATATCCCCTGCAGCCGAAAAAGTGAACAAAACTGTAATAGACTCTTTAGCTTGAGATTGTTCAACATTATAGACATTTTTGAACCTTTTTCTGCTAATACTTGACCAGTTTTAACGCAAATTTGAAAATTTGTCTCATCTGCATTAAATACTCGATGTGGGTCATTTAAAACAGAAGCCAAGTCTTTTTCAGTAGCATAATTTTGGATTTCAGTAAACCACCCTCTTATATCTTTTTCCGAAACACATGCACTGGCCTTTGTCACACCTTCTGAAGTTCTGGTTGCCAATCTAGGATGTCGTTTTAAAAAGGCCTTCCACCAACCGTCACCTGGCCTATTATTCAAAAATGAGTTTGGACGCGGGTTTTCTATTAGAAACTTTTGGACGGTATCCAATATGTCCTCTTTGTTACGCGGAAATCCCTTTCTTGCTGAAATGATTATCCAGTCTTCTAAACTATTTTCTTCTGAAATAGTTAGTACAGGTGATGGCCCTAAGCTGGTTTTGTGGCCCGGATGTTTAATATAGTACCGAAGACTGGACCTCGGAACGCCGTATTTTTCGGCGATTTGCCTCGTAGATAGCTTATTGTTAACATCTTGAACTGTATCAATTGCTTTTTGTAAATTTTCTTTACTATACTGAACTTTGGGTGTCTTTGGCATTCTGAAAGTAATGAAATATAATTAGCACCTGTTTATGTAAAGAAATTGCGAAATGTAACACTATTCATGTCATATTGGCAATACTACTTAACTCAAAATATAAGTATGACATTAATTGCCCGGGCAATAACTATAAATATTAACCTATGGCAATTACTAAAAAAATGATGGGCAATAACTGAAAACAATAAAAATCGATACAGTGATTGCCCACCTCTAAAATAACCGTTAGAATTTAATATTCAAATTAGATTTACATTCAATACTAAAGTTAATCACAATTTTATCGTAATTATGTAAGAACAGTCGAATAGGTACCATTCAAATGTCCTAAAAAATGTTTTTTAGCAAGTAATTCCTTAAGAAAATTGATAAAATGCTTACCTGATTGAGTAACACGTTCACTTGTTTTTACAAATCCGCCATTACTGACTTTTTTTCTTCCAGTGTTGCAATAGTTTGATTTAAAATCTACCATAAATTAATAACAGTGCCCTCTAGTGAATACTTCTCAAAATAAAAAGTCAATAATTGTCTTTTTATTTTAAAAAATCTAAAAATGGGCAATAACTGTCGGTGGGCAATAACACTCCTGTTTACCCTACCTACTGATAGATATGTTAGGTACTGAGACTGGTAACAAATAGGTGTTTGTAACAGTACAAGGCAGTACTTACCTACAATAGTCAGTAGAAAGCAATATAATGTATAGCACGACTTATAACGTTGTAATAGTTGGGCCAATAGAGTAGAGCCAACGGCAATACATTTTTAATTTTCTATTAATTTTTGCCGTCGTCTTTGTAAGTAATTTCCGTGGTTGGGCTACAAAAGTTGGATAAGGTTCCGATTCCGATATATTTACAATTTCTAGCTAAGTACGTAGGTAGTATTTTTTTTTAGCGTATTTCAGGTGAAATTATCAAGTGTAGACATTTTCATCTTAGCCAACTTGGTCAAATGGTCACCCTAATTTGTAATAGGGTAATTAAAAAACCAATGGTAGGTACTTATTTGAAACTTTATTTCTTATTCTAAGTTTTGTATCTTATTAAAAAAAACCTTCCTTAAAAACTAGATGCATGTACACCGATTATATTATCATTATTTACAAAATTGACACATTTTATATTTTGTTATTTGCACGAATTGGGATACAAGCATAATCTTTATGTTTTCGACAAAGTTTCAACACATGCTTTTCATGAAAGTTAAATAGTGAGTTTTGTATCAGTTTATTTGTTAGTGTTCGATTATTATTCATCCCAATAAGTAATGTTTACTCATGTAATTAATTAATAATACAATGTCTTACAAATAATAGGTAATACAAATTGTTCGACTTTTTATTCCAGAATTACAGTGTTTTTCAACATTTAACTGATCTTAGATGGTAGCTTTTTCACTGACTGAAAAATACTGTATTGGAAGAATTAACAAGTTTCTACTTAAATAACTAAATTCACGGACCTAATATAAAATATAATAATTATACAGTCTAAGGTAGATGCATTAAATGAATCTCGTTGCAGTTACCTAGAGGTATATTAATTCAGTAACGGCCGAAACTGATAACCGATCTCAATCCAAAATCTATGAATTTACCAAGGACGTTGGAAAAAAGAAGGACACAGTCTCTTGAACAACGGCTGTGGCACCTGGCTGGCTACTATAGACTTACACGCAGAACATTCACACATTGAAACCAAGGACACCTGCCATTTTATTAAAGGTCATAACACATTTAAAAAGTACGGCTCCAACCCAGCCATTAAGTTGTCATTTAAATATAAACTTTAAATCGTATGTCGTATGATACATTTCGTAACATCAATATGAAAAGCCGATGGCGGTATGTCAGCGCGCGGTGGTAGTCGAGCCACCTGACGCAGGTCCTCACCGGACATGGAAGTTTCGGTAGGTACCTGTGTCTGATGGGGCGGGAGGAAACGCCCGGGTGTCATCACTGTGAGGACCGCCCTAAGGACACGGTGGAACACACAGTGGGAGAATGCCCTGCGTGGGCTGAGCACCGCCGTGCCCTCAGGGAAGTGATCGGCGATGGCGACCTCTCGCGTCCGGACCTGGTGCGGGCCATGATGCGGAGCGAGGGGGTCTGGGATGCCGTCTCCTCCTTTTGCGAAGCAGTCATGCTAACTAAGGAGGAGGCGGGACGCGTGAGGCAGCGAAGCGCTGCCTCCTCGCAACCCAGCCATCGCGAAGGACACACCGGGCGTCGGGGATCGCGGGACGATCTCCGGCCACCGTAAACGCGGGACTGCGGACGGCGAGCATGGGTGGCTCCCCGTCCGACCAGAAACAGACCCGAGCGTACGGCGCGTCGAGTTCCGCGCGCTCCTCAAAGAGCCATCAGTCGCGGAGAACCTAACGGATAACCGGGGCTCCGGCTCGACGTGCAGGAGAAGGAATGGGGTGGTATTTAGTCAGTAAAAGTCTGACACTCCCTTCCACCTCACCTAGGCGGGAGCAGTCATACGACGATTTTCCCACCTTAAAAAAAAAAGCCGTGGTGTAGTCGAGGCGCCCGCGTGCTTAGAAACAACATCGCATCGTAGGTAGATCTAAGAAGGAGACGGGGCGCATAAGGCAGCGAAGCGCTGCCTCCTCACAACCCAGCCATCGCGAGGGACACTCCGGGCATCGAGGATCGCGGGACGACCTCCGGCCACCGTAAGCACGGGCCTGCGGACGGCGAGCATGGTTTGCTCGCCGCCCGACTAGAACCAGACCCGAGCATCATCCGGTCACCGCGCCGACACGACGCCTCACCGGAGTCGTGTTTGTTAAATGTGTTTGGTAAATGTTAAATGTAACCTTAAGTCTAGTAACGTGGTAACTCATTACACACGCACACATAAATAACCCCCTGACAGTTTGGTGCTTCAATCATTTGTAAGTGACATTATGTCCGCCTTTTTTCAACGTAAGGAGGTAGGCACAAGGTACCTACCAGGTACGTAGGCACAATGTACTACGTACCGCGAGAGAACTACAATACCTACAATAGCGTACATGGCAACAAAAGAGATTTGTTTGCTTGGTGTGATGAAGTAAGGTATCATCTTGAATTATAGGGTGGTTTGATGATAGTATTAACTGAATAAAAAGACGTTGCAGGAAAACATTCGAAGGACACTTAAGGGTCATCAATAAATTATGTCACACGAATTTCATGATTTTTTGCCGTACCCCCGTTATTGTCACAGCACTCACAGCTGGTTACAGTTGTGAGACTCCCCCCCTCTCTAGTAGTGAGATGTCACAATTGGCAAATTTACATACATAAATTATTGAATGAAAACAGCGGTTCCCACTCATGGGATCCGAAATCATATATATTACCATTTAAATTATAATAAAAAATATTAACATGATCTAATAAATATGTACAGCGAGTGGTCAAAAAAACAATAAAATTGGTATCTTATATTTACACAGATACAGTTGTAACTATATGTTTGTGAGGTTTATTACTTATGTTATGTTCGTACTTTTAAAGTTCGAGTTTTAACGCAGATTATAATAGTTTTTAAAAAGTGACGTCATAATGTTTAGGATCGCTCCCTACCTCTTGTCACAGTATACCACACTACGTCGACTCCCTCTGTCCCCCGGAAAGTGTGACGTAATTTATTTATGACCCTTTAACTCATGCTATAAGATAGTCAGGTGGTTTGGAGGATATCTCAATATCCTTCATCAAAGTATGTTATATTTAGAAATGGGTATCAAAGATTATTAGGTATGTCATGGGTCGAAAACTAGGCTACGCTAAGAAAATGTATCTCAGATCTCATTTGGTTGCTACTTTTCTAACTTTTACATGAAATTTATTAAATATAGACGTTTTAATTAAATATTCACTAGTTATACTCGTGTAGTTAATTAGAGAGTATGCTATTGTATACAATATGGATATTATTTATAAGCAAAAATATTTTGCCAAACAGCTACACAGATGTGACACGAATAGAAAATTTGAAAGATGAAAGCAGAACTACATTTATCGGTTCAGCGAATTGTAAACACTATTTCTAATATGAAGCACATAAATAATAGCGTATAAGACTGCCAACCAATTCTGAAATGAAATATTTATATTTATGTTATTGCTTAATCTGAAACACGAGTAATCGAAATTTTACGACATAGGTACTATAGCAACTAGTACCTATGTACATTGTACATACCTATATGGCCACAATTTCATACAAAACTGTAACACATTACATTTATGTAAGATCTTTGAAATCAAAGGGTTTCTGCATTGACTTCTGAGTTGCCTTTGATGAACTAGCAATATAGAATACTGATGTACTATTTTTTAATTTATTTTTAACAACTACACTGAACCAGTCCATAACATTAGTCGTCTTACTTTTACCAAGAATGTTAACAAAAGGATTTGTTTGTTTCGGAGCTCCATCAGGTCTAAATCTTTTAGTAGTTACAGAAGGTACAAATGTTATGGAAGCTTTATGGCTTGCCAAGGATCGTAATCTCATGGCAAGCATGTCCTTCAATTTAATACTTTTTGAATTGTTTGTTGATTGTTTTGGAACTATTGAATTATATTTAAGGGATTCACGTAAAAATTTCAGTACTTTTTTGTTTTTGTCATTCTTAGAGCCAGAAGGAAAAAAGTTAGAATGCGTAGTTTTAGGTCTTGAACCATAAGAGACTTTAGTAGTAGAAGGTATAGTCTTAGACTGAACTCCGGTTGGGTAAACCACGTAAGTAGAACGAGTTGGGTGGGGTTTTGTAGTAGTCCTTCTGGTAGTAGTTCTCTTTGGTCTAGGAACTCGATAAGTAGAGAATGGTTTTTCTGAAGGAGTTCCAGTAGGATAAGGAAGAGTAGTATAATTATACGGTATTCTACTTTGATAAGATGGCGTCGGAGGATATAAGGTAGGAGTAGTACGACGTGTATATGGCCTTCGTGTAGTAGAAGTAGAACGTATTGTAAATGTTCCTGTCGGATATACTAAGGAAGATGAGATCGAAGTTTTTTGAGTCCGACAGGGCTTAGTAATCTTAGGGGTAGTCCGAGTAGGGTAAGGGGGTAGAGTTGTTTTTTGAGATATAAATTTGTTAGTAGGATAAGGATGAGAAAAAGATACTGACAATGCAGAGGGACGATGAGAATAGCGAAGACCGGGGGAATATGATGGCGCAGTTTGAGTGGGATACGGATGTGAAAGAGCTGGATACTTTGGGCTCATATATTTAACACTAACTTTAGATGGAATAGGAGCCGAAGGACTTCGTGGATGAATAGGATTTGGTTGCTTCGAAGGAGTTCCCGTTGGGTAAATAGCAGAAGGATAAGGAAGGGTTTCCTTAGTTTTTGAATATTCTGGCTCGTAAGTTGTAGGGGAAGAGGCAGTTATAATATTTTCAGTAAGATAACGGTCAGGATCGTTGGTTGGCGGCGTTCCAGTTGGGTACACAGCTGAAGGATAGGGATATGTTGAACGAGGTTGTGTATCATCTGGCTCTGAAGTTGAAAATAACGTCGTAGTAATTGCTTCTTTTGTGGAGTAATGATAATCAGGCCTCTTTCGAGAAGTTCCAGTAGGATAGACTTTAGACGGGCAAGGTTTCTTTGAAGAAGGACTAGTAAAATCAGTACAGGTAGTCGTAATCGAACTTGTAGTTGTTTCTTCAGTATCGTAGGAGTAAATAGGTTTTGGAGGTGTCCCAGTAGGATAAACTGGAGAAGGATAAGGTTGCGTTGAAGAACGATTAGCAAAATCAGTACAGGTAGTCGATGTCGAACTTGGTGTTATATCTTTGGTACCATAAGAATATTTAAACTCAGGAGGAGTCCCAGTCGGGTAAACTGGAGATGAATAACGGTACCTATGAACTGTAGTTTTTATCCAAGCTGTAGAAATAGCATCAGTAGAAAATGTTTCATAAAGGGGCTCATAGATTGTGGTTGGAGAAGTTCCAGTAGGATAAACAGGTGAACTGTAAGGACGCCTTGAGCGGGTGTAGGTAGTTACAGGATAAGGAGAATATGCAGTTGTAGGAGGATAGTATGTAGATAGATATTCATCTGATTTGTAATCGGAAGTAGGATATAAACTTCGAAGAGGAGTTCCAGTTGGATAGACAGGAGATGAATAGGGGTACCTATGAACTGCAGTTTTTATCCAAGCTGTAGAAATAGCATCAGTAGAAAATGTTTCATAAAGGGCCTCATACATTGTGGTTGGAGAAGTTCCAGTAGGATAAACAGGTGAACTGTAAGGACGCCTTGAGCGGGTGTGAGTAGTTACAGGATAAGGAGGATATGTGGTTGTAGGAGGATAGTATGTAGATAGATATTCATCTGATTTGTAATCGGAAGTAGGATATAAACTTCCAGGAGGAGTTCCAGTTGGATAGACAGGAGAAGGGTGAAGACGCGTAGAATGAGTAATGTGCCATTTAGGCGTCGTCCTATCGTGGAGCGTGGTTATTACTGAATCATTATAGCCTAAAGTTTTGACAGTTTCACTGATCCAATATAGCGCAGGACTTATTGCAGTAAAACTCAGCTGAGAAAGAGCACAACTGTCCGAGCTGGTGATCCCCGTAATGCCATATATTTTGCCTTCTAATAGTAACGGCAGGCCTTGTTCTTGTCGTTGACGACAAATTTGTATTGATCTTTTTGTTATTTTGTTGGAAGCACAAACATAATATCCAAATGGTTGTTCTTTATAACATCGTTGCACGATGGTTACTTGTAATCTCGGCTTGTTTGAATTCAATATAGGAATGAGCGCTTTTTGTCCTATCGTGGATAGACTGTCTAGAGCACTTAATTTGACAAGTTTCCTTTTTTTCCCATCTTTTGGTATGACAACTAGACCAATATCATTTCGTGTAAGGAAATTATTCCCACGAACATAATTTTTATAATGTGGATGAATATAAGTTCGAACTATAGGTGAGTTATCAATATATTGACAATTTTCCGCACAATATGATGTAGTCAGGACGACGTTAGGTAAAATGAATGTTCCTACACAGTTCTGGATGGGTTTGTAGAACTCATTACTGCACTGGAGATTCACTATACTTGTTATAGAAATGCTTCGCATGCGCACAACACAAAACGAAAATATTGTATAAAATTGAAGAGTTTCCTTCAACATTATATTATTGAAACTATAAAACTATTATCAACTTCATCGGTTAACACAATTGTTGTATTTTTATGGATACATTTAACCTGCTTCTTATTTGTTTTTATAGTAACGTACTGGTATCGAATGTTTATTGTAGGACAACTTTCAGTGTTGCCTTTACCTATAGAATTACAGATTTGCAGTTTAGACGTAGTAACACATAATGCAACTATTTTTAAGTAACTCTCAGTAATTTGTTGGTACGAATTAAGATAGCTATTTTTTTAATGGAACGACTGTTGGCTTTATTTAAAAACACAAATAATATTGTGCAAACCAGATGGTAAAACCTGGAAGACGCCCTGTAGTGTGTGTGGTATGAAATTGTTTATTTCACCCTAGTCTGGCTGATATCCAACATTGTGTTTTCGAAGCTGTTATAATGAAAGCGGTTATTATTTTGTTGACGTCATCATTTTCCTTTAAATAACAGATTGGACGCACATTTGCTTTGTTTAATTTTTGCACCCGTCAATGGTTTACCATATTTTTACTAATTGTCAGACTGCCTCGTTGGCCGAGTGGTCGCAAATGCGACTGTCGCAAGAGGTCTCGGGTTCGATTCCAGGGTCGGGCAAAGTATTACTACTGGGTTTTTATAAATCTCAGTAGTAGCATGGAGTCCGGAAATGTGCCCGGTATATGGCAATAGGCTCACCCCCTATTACATGGGACTAATAACATAAATAGTGAAAAGTGGGTGTTACATTGTACAGTGCCATAAGTGCCGTAATGCGCACCTCAACCTACCCCTTCGGGGATAAAAAGGCGTGATGTTATGTTATGTTTGTCATGTAGTACAACATATTAAACGCAAAGGACAATAGGATAATTCCATACAAAAAAACCCGATCAACACAAACCAAACCTAGGTCATCCTATCACATGATTGGCGTTATACATTTTACATTGATTGTTTGTTTGATGTCTCTGGAGGGTGAAAGTTAAGATGGTTGAATTTGACCTAAAACGGGAGTAACTATAAAAAAATTACATTAAATATTTTAATAGTAAATTAACCAATGATTGGGATAGGCGAGGATATCCTTGTTCAAATGCGGTGACAAAATGATTCCAACACCGCTCGTGTTTCAAATCTTCACGACCTAAGAAGTAGATGGGGTTTCCTATCGCAATGGTGTCGCAATTCCTATGTAATGCGGTCCCATTTCCTCCCCCCCCCCCGCCCCCCAGAAGAACTCGTACGTTCCAAGTTCCAACACGATGATGATTTCGAATTGTAGGCTTTTCTCCTCGAAAGTTTGTGGTACCAACAGTAGCATTAAACCCACTGAAATATATAAAAACATTTGTTATATCTACGATTAAATCTAACCTACGTGATCAAAAGTGTCGGAGTGCCCAAAAAGAATGCGTTAAATTTTTTGACAGCTTACAATCTCGCGATATGTATTTAGATATTACTAGCTTCTGCCCGCGACTTCGTACGCGCAATCCCATTTTCCCCCCGTTCCCGTTCGTAATTTTCGGTAAAAAGTAAAAAAAAAAGTATTGTATAAAAAGCATCCTATGTCCGTCTCCTGGTTCTAAGCTACCTCCCTGCCGATTTTCATCTAAATCGATTGAGGCGTTCTTGAGTTATAAATAGTGTAACTAACACGACTTTCTTTTATATATATAGATAAACATTGATATAATAAACTACCAAAAATAAACTTACCTACGATGAGATGTAAATTTTGAACGAATGTGAAAGATTTTTTACATATTGTTTTAACGTGGCATCACCTTTATCGTGGGGTTGTCTTCCCTTTATAGTGGAGGCATTTAAAAACAACCCATAAGACAATAAGGTAGGTAATGTTGAGCCCATCGTTTAATAGGAATAAGAAAGACATACTTCTATGAATCTTCTATGGTATTCTTAAGCCATCCATGGTACATGATCAACCATGACCGTACAGGCCATACCTACTTTCAAAGATACAAACCATGAACAAACACTTTAACGTTTCTATCGATGCAAGTTTTGCATTTGATGTTCAAATATTGGTGAAGTTTCATCCCACATATATCGTAGTGTACAAAGTACAGGTTAATTTAATTTTCAAACTAGGCTCATTAGAGACTTGATAAGTAGGTATAAGTATACGTATAACAATGTATTTTTCTGAGACTCGTTGGCTTATTGAAGACGATGATTTAGGATTTAATAGTATGGTACGTTGTGTAGGTATATATTTTTATATGACGATAAGGCGGAGAGTGGCAGGAGCTATAATGTTTTATTTGGTAACGCTTATAGATAGAATGAGACGCATTGGTTTGGCGCCTGAAGTGTTGAGTGTAAAGCGTTCGTTCCGTATGAACGAGCGCTGGAATTAATGTGGCGCCGGCGCCGGGTGCTGCGCGGCATTCCACGCGAGCTCCAAGAAAGTGCATCCGTGAATAACCACTCAATCAACCAAGTCTCGTAATGCTCGATATTAAGCTATCACGCGCCGCTGCCCCGAAATAGAACCATTCCATTCATAAACAATGCACATCATGAATGAAATACTATCGGCACATAACGCATTACTAACTAAATTAACCACTCTATATACGCCGTGCTCTGGACTCTGGTTCGCACAAATGAAAGTACGTATTGCCATAAATCAAGATAACGTGATGGAGTTATGCGGATGAGCCCGCTATTAAAATGCCAATAATGTGCCAACTTCAATTGCAATGAGCTAGTTCCGATACTAAACATTATAAATAATAATCAGCTGGCATTTCTTGTGCGTAGGAATTCCAACAATATCTTAGTATATTAGCTGCGATTAAATCGAATGCTCTGAACAAATAAATACATAAACATGGGTGTGACGGTGCCGTGGTTTACTAAACAGACACTGCGGACGCTTGCGCGATTTATCATTTTCTCGTGCTCGCTGCACCTAGGTACGTGAGGGGGGATGTACAGTTTTTGTCAATTAGTGGTCCAGCATCCATGATCCATATTTGTGACGTACTTCACTATCCGCCGCACTCCCGAGTCATTTAATGGCTACTTGATTCAGTCCTTAGCAATTGTTATCGGAACATAATCGTTACTAAGGAATAGTTTAACTCTGAATATCGCAGCATGACTTCTTGATTGAATTACTATTCAAACACATAATTTCAAAATACCTACATAATTATGTGAAATATGTGAAGCTTTTATTTATTTATTTCTTCTTTACAAAAATAACAGTGAATGGCGGACTTAATACCTACCTTAAGCTTTTGTTTTGTAATTACAGGAACCATTATAACGAGTATGTATACAGTTTTATAAGTTCATTCAATGCAGAGAGAAAAATATAATAATCGACTATTAGATAAGTGCGTGAAGGGGTAGCTCTTCGCACCTCTACCCACGTAAAGGTGTGCTTACTCAAACGGTAAAAAGGAAATTTATTCTCCACTAAATGTATGTAGTTATGAACCCCAACGTAATAGGGTTCACTCCTTTACCATTACTATACTAAAAGGTTAATACAATATAATTTGGATAATACCTATTTTTAATCAATTGAATTCTAAAGACATTGAGTTTTATTTCTAACTATTTATCATTTCTGTTCCTTGGTGTGAAACGTAGTTATTTTCTCTGAATAGAATAGTATAACTAAGACGAGGCCTAACATTACAAGATCCTAAAACAAGTTTCAATATGTACTGAAAAGAAGATTTTGTATTTAAATTTTATTTATCAACTGTGAGTGGATTGAAAGCAAATGTTTTATATTGGTTTGGTTACATTGAAAGCTTAAATGATATTGATAGCTTACACAGAAAAGCACAATGGCTTTTTCTCAAACTAGAAATCAAATCTGACTCCCCTTGTACGAGGAAAATTAGACAAGAGGTAAAAGAAACTGGCACAACATAGGAATTAATACATTTATTAATATCCATTACATAACATCTAGTACGCGTAAGTTAAATAAAGTCGTTGTAATTATTTAGTTTACTCTGAATTTGGGAGGTCCGTATGTTTCATGGGGGACTCCCTGACTAGTAGAGATAGCACCTTCGTAGCCTGCGCTGGATGCCGTGCTGCTTACGGTTACCGGGGAAGAAATGCTGCTGGAGATGTTGGACTCTTCCAGACCACTACCGGAGCTAGAGGAAGCGGTGCTCAGACCAAAAGCCTGGTTGCTGGAGCCCAGAGAGCTGAATGATCCGCCAGAGGAGCTGTGGTGTGGGTACTGGGCGACGGGGGACTGGTAGGAACCCTCAGCGGATCCAGAGTTAAGGGAGACAGAATGGCCCTGGTTGTAGTCCTTGACGATGTTGTTGATCACGGCCTGGGAATCTTCCTTGTTCTTGTACTTGATGAAGTATACCTCGGGCTTGGAGGGGGGCTTCTGCTCAATCTTAGGAAGGACGACTTCGGGCTGTTCGTCGGGTTTCTTAACAAGGACGTAGACAATAGTCTTTTCTTCATTCTGAGGTTGTACGGGAGCAATGACCTGTGGGGCGCTAGCTTCGCTGGGTGCCTTCACGAAGATGATCTTGTAGTGCTTCTGGGGGGGAGGCAGTACGATGGGTTTGCGGACCTTAACTTCTTCATGTTCTTCGGGAGCGGCGTGCACGTAGAAGTGTTTGAAAATTTGGGCAGGCTGGTGTTGCACTTGGTAGTACTGCTGGTACTTGTTAACGGCTGAAGCCTGGTATTGGCTGGATGAGTCGTATTGCGTGTTGTATCCGGTTTGGTAGTTAGGCTTTACATAATTGACACCACTGTTGGCGCCGGAGCTTTGGTAGTTGTATCCAGAGCCGCTACCTGAGTGAGCGCTTCCAGTTTGGTATCCAGAGTTTTGGTGACCCTGGTAGCCTCCTTGAGATCCCGCGTATGCGGAACTGTACTGGCCAGAGTTACTGCTGCCGAACTGGTAGGAGGGAACTCCATATGAGGT